TGTATATACATGCAATAGTACTATATGCAATAATTCCTTATTATTTTATAATGAATACTTTTATTTTCATAAACGGAATCATCGAATTTCTTTACTCAATTATTTCCAATACAATTTAAAATTTAAAAGTTAAAACATTTAAATCATATAACAAAGATAAGTAGTAAATATAAAAAACCCATGAGTGGCAGTTGACGGTCGTCGTCGCTCAGTCGGTCACAATAATAATATTGTTATCAGTAATTTATTCATTTATGTTATACAAATAAAAGACGAAGATTAAATTTGTGACTGAATAATAATATGACAATATATTGACATAGGATAACATAAACTATTGCAATTTAATATATACCAAATTAAATAACATATTTTGATACGGTAAAGGGGGGGGGCGGTTGCGCCTGGTTTACAATGTAATAAATAATAATAATGTGTAAATAGAATTTAATATTTTGTAATCGGAGAGTAAAAATATTTACCTAGTTAACATATTTTGTAATATAAATATCAAAATATTAAATTTATCTAGCTGATATATTTATTTTTCTCAGATAACATAATTCCCATTTATCTGAATAATGTTGAAAGATAAAAATATACATATCTAGATAATTTATATAGATAAAACACAACACTGGCTATACGTGGGTACGTGGATTCGTATCTGTAAAAGGTCAGTTTATCAAAGTATTTATCTTCTATAATATTTATCGATTCTATACTCAATACTATATACTATATATTTATATTGGTTTGCTTTATATACATTATGAAATATTAAGGCATGCGTATCATTTTTTTCTTAAATATATGGATTATTAAGTATGGTTGTTTGAGTTAATAGGTATTGTTTAAAAATACTAAGACTAAAAACACTTCACTTTTTAGTCTTCAAGGGTAGACTATTTCACTTTTATTATTATTTAATATTACATATTACGCTATTGCAACACCAATTTGTATAAAATATCTTTTTATTAATTGACTGATTTCGAAACGCACAGATACCTAGATAACACTGGTTAACAAAAATTACATTTTTTAAACAAAAAATAAAGCACTTCGTTGCCAAGGTTTTTCGATTAATTTGAGAATACTGAATTGTAATATTTCATTTTTTTCTTCAAATTAGCTCGTATTTCGAGATTATAATCTAATAATCTAAAAATATATAAACGAATATTTGTCTGTTTGTCCTTTATGGATCCTTAGGAAGATGTTCCACGGTGTCCGTAGAAGGCTTATAGATAATTAAATCCACCCCTTATTGAATACCATTTCCTAAAGTTAGATTTTTAGGTATTTTTAGTATACAAATCTAACTGTTTTTGTTAATTTATAGGTTACTTTGGTAACATGGATGAAAAAAAAATATTCTGGTTAATTTTTATAGCGCGATCTCTATGCTGTGTTATTATCTATGGTAATAGTATATAATGATAACTTACATACATACATGATGGAAAAGTTATAACAAATATAATATTTTTTTCAGTAGGTATAACATATTTTTCAATGTTTCACATATTTTTCTATTGACAGTGATTGTGTCAATAAACTTAATAATGATATTTTTATTATTCTTGTAAAAATCTGCTTTTAAAAATGGCCGTAATTCTGAATTAAACTAAACAAAAAAAGCTTTAGTGAAAATAATTGTTTAGTTGATTATTAAATAATTATCAAACTCAATTTTGAAGGGCCGGAAAAAAATTTCAACTTAACAGATCAGTTTCAAATTTTGCACAACTTTTTAATAACACAGTTAATTTATATTTAAGGGGAAAAATAAACTTTTTTTTTTTATTAGAATTTATGTATATAATATTTGATTTTTTTTAGAATTAGTGATAATCTCAACAACAAGAGCGAATCATACAAATCTGAGACTATATTCGGAGTCAGTAGTGAAATTCCACACAGAATTTACTATCAACTTGTTGACCAGTGTAATATATTATGCACACAATATGATTTTTTAACTAATTATTTTATTATGTGCCATGTACCGCAGTAGCGTTTTAGGTTACGTATAGGTGTCTAATAAGTAATAAGGCACCACCGTTTTTTTTTCTGTAACCTTACTATTAAATAATTTCCAACCTTTTTATTTTATTTACAGCTGTTAAAGTAAGACAAACTTAGGAGAGAGGGAAGAATCTATATTTATTAAAATTAAGGGGCTTTCTCGAGAAATATATAAAAATAAATCAAATTTTCTGGAAATCTATTATGGAGATAAATATTTCAAAACGTTTAACTCCTACAAACATTTATTCATAAAAAGAGCTGATACTGGGGACGGGTTCACCCCTATTGTAGGTGGAAGATAGTATATGGTAGTATATGTAAAGTTATTTAATTTATATTTATAATCAAAGATAAATCATTGATAATGAAAAACGATTCGGAGTGAAGTTCAGTTACAATATATGTTTTAAAAGGCCGTAATACGTAATACATATTTACAATTTTCGTCAAAATTTGATATTAAAATTCTCAATTTTCAAAACATTTATGCTATTTTTAAACTATTTATAGACATTTAAATTTTGCGAGTTTTTTACGTAATTTTTATTTGGTAGGTACTCTGTGGATAAAATTGTTAGTCTTAGCATAAATGCTTGAACATATGACAGGACGTTTATTATAAGTCGTACTTAATAGTTGAAAAAAAATGGAGAACTCCATTTTTGTGCCCCTCCCTCCAATTGGAATTTGGACATTCTAATTAGGACGATAATTTGTGCATCGTTTGTGCACGAATGTGCATGATATCCAGTGGTTTGTGTATAATTAGTTTTGGAGTTATTCAAGGAACATATTGGAGAGGCCATAAAAACGACAACCCAAATGACCGGATATCACAAATGATGCACAAACTATCGCCTATAGTAGAATGTCCAAATTTCAATTGGGGGGGGGGGGGCTATGAAAATGGATATTAATATGTAAGTATATTGCATATTTAAAATCCCCTATGTATATGACCTTAAAAAAGTGTAAGAGGACTATAATATTATAGCATAAACGCGCAGGGGATTTTCCGAGTTAAAGAATATTTCTACCGTCGTTGCTCCACCATTGATAAAACGGAAATCGGCCGTTGATGAACGGATATTTTCTTCAGTTTCTGCAATCGATGTTCCGCTATAAACGGAATTTCACCATAGCACTCGTTTTGCCGTACATTGTATATAAAATATTATACCGTGTGCTTAACACGTCGTGCCATAATATTGAGTATTTGTATCGGTAACATAGTGGTTCGCAGTGTATATAAAATTAATATTATTGTATGTGTATAATTTGATCGGCACTCGACTGTGGCAACGGCGTCTGCCTCGGGCTCCGGTCGCGTACGAAAACAACATAGTCGTATATGCGTACAAAACGGGACTCATGTGTCTAGGCCCGATTGCGTAAAAAAAAAAAATAATAATAATAATAATAATGGTAAGATCACCGAACGGAAAATGAACGGCGTTTAAATATTATTATCGTTAACGCGTGGTATAAATATAATATTATGTTCACCCGGATAACCTGGGAGCCTATGCTAATGCTTTACACTTTCAAGGAGACCACCTTTAAAAAAAAAAAAACTGCAAAACTACCGGAATACACCAAAAATTAATTTTGATCGCGATTATAAAACACCTACCCCATCCAACAATGGAAAAACTGGGAAAAGTTTTATTAAAATGTAATATAAAAGTTTAACTTTTCAATCAATGATCTTTTATGAGAATCGAGTACCGAGAAAATATGTATTTTCAGTTGAAATCCGCAGTAGGTATAAATACAGTAGATATACTTTTTCTATTTGATTTGTTTTTATATCTTTCTTGCACACATCATTACCATCATTACCATCGTTTCCAGTATTGTATAAGTACTTTTTTAAATACCTATCTAAATATTATTGTTAGAATAATTATATAGAATTCTAGACCAAGATAAAATATAGGTACATAACAATTTAAATATTTAGGTAAAGATAAATAATTATTTAATACATTTAATTAAAAAAAAAAAAAATGATAATTTTGTTCATTACCCCTCATAAAACAGTGTTTAAATAAGCACTAAAATTGGGTCGGATTGATACAGATCTGGATTTTATACATTAAGTTTTGTGATTGATTAACTAAATAGGTATTACAGTTTTTTCTTATTATTGATTTTATATCATTATTATTCAATAATATATTCATATAAATTATTAAATTTAAACAATATATTAATAGCCGAAGTGTTTTCATTGGATGATCCTTCACTCACATAGTCACGTCATTTAAGCTACACTATAATACACAAACATCCAATATACTTATTGTACCATTACTTTAGTGGTGATTTTTTTTTTATCATGAAATAGTAATATTTCTCTGACGATTTTAAGTGAATTTTATTTCTGTTTTATCATTTTGAACCATTGTGGAATCATTTAAGCTTTATTTAAAACCATTTTTAATTTTTTTAACCCTATTCCATATACCTTGAATAATTCTTTACTTTTATATTTCAAATAGGAACTTTGTGCTATTTTTGAACACAGATTCGAATAGAAAATATTTTTCTAGATATTTTAATATGCATAATACTAATATCAGACTTATCATTTATGAATAGGTAGTTATAACCATTTAAAACAATATCGCTGAAACGGTTTGTTCCCTAAACTAGGTTGCTAAAAAATACACAGCTAAAATGACGCTGTACTAGTCGGCCGAGAATTTCCTTGTCTGGGATCGGCAATTTTTTTTCGAGCTTAGGTATATAGACAAAAACGGCACCGGACTATAGAGACAAGTCAAGTGCGAATGTTTTCTCCCGCGCGGTACGCGGCCGACGGACTTGTTACACCACACGCCTGCTGTTGCCGGAGAAAAAAAAAGTGAACGTAAGTCATGTTGGTTCAATAATAATAATAATATAATTCGACGATTGGGCGGAGGGGAAGGTACAGTCGAATAGGTTGTATGTGAGCCGTCCATCCTCGACCGACGTGCAACGGCACTCGTGCAACAGACGCGGCACAGCTCGAACTCATCGTCTTCGTCTATAATCCGAACGTCCGAACGATTTCGTTTGTATAAACAAAAAATACCTTCGGGCAATTTGGAGGTGAGTAGTTATCGTATTATAATATTTTATTACACATGCATTAAATAGTATTGTAAACACCTAACTACGAAATATTCTATTATATTTTACATGTAAATACTTTTATATTACACTCAGTGGCGGTGTGACGTTATTTTTCTTTCTATAAAGTAGTGTCAGTAAAATAGCGACGCAAGTCCCGAAGAATCATGAATTGTAACTAAAGTTAATAGTCGTTCCTGAACTTCACTTTTTTCGTTAACGAATCTAATGATAAAGTCTCACACTATACACTAGCCAATCATCAATAATTTGTGATTTTATAATCACAATGTATAGAATACCTATTCATTATTATTATGTATCTAGGTAAGTATTATTTTGCTTAAAAATATGTACACAGGTGCCTTAACAGCAAAATCGTTGTTACTTGTTTCATTTTGCCTCGTAGATTGGGAAATCTTTTAGTGAATATCCACTCTCTTCTAAAAAATAAACGACACGAGCAGATAAACCAAACCCTTTATTTTTCTTTAATCCCCTCTCCCCTCCCAATAAGAATATTTATTACATAAATTCTATTATTTTGCTACAAATTCGATTAATTTAATAATTTTCTAATTGACACAGTAAGCAAAATAATATTTTATTGGTTGTCCAATGGACTTAACTGTGGACGATATAATAACATATGTGTTACTATCGTGTTTGTCAAGACGGTGAAAATATCTGAGAATATTATTTGTTTGATTTTTTTTTGTTATAATTAATGATGTTATTTAATTAAGGACGTATAATTAACGCGATTTGCTTTCGGTACCTAATGCAAAAAAAAAAAAAATATGTGATTACAAATCACAAATAAATTTTGTGATAACAGTCGTAACTTGTGATATATTATAATTTGATAGTTACTAGGGAAATAATCGCCCCGCCGTTAAAGTCACCACATACCTATACCTGAAAATAGTATTATTATTTTACGCCATATAAATAAAAGGTAAAAGGTAAAAGATCCACAACCAGAATAGTAATGATAATAAAAAATAATTGATTGTGTTCGTTTAAAAATTATTAATTTAATTTTTTTGAATTACCTACCTTTACGGAATTAATCGCTGACCTAACCAACATAAACGTTGATTATTAAACGGAGTTTACGCTAATAAAGGATGGCTATCAGCTATAAACTCTGTTTAAAAATCAGATTAATGAAAGCGTTTATGTTGGTGAAACAGATCCGTAATTGTACAGGGCTTTTTACAGGGTTTGAAACTGGTTTTGTAATCGATTTTAAATACCGGTTAAAACTTTAAATTGTTAAAAAATCGATGCCAATATCAAAATCAAAATTAAAACTAAACAAATTTAAAACTGATTTTCAAAATTAAAAAAAAAATCGATTGCCAAAATTGAAATCAAAATTAAAAGAATTAAAAATCGCTTATCAAAATCAAAATCAAAATCGAAAAAATTCAATACCGTTAATCAAAACAGGAATTTTTTTTTGGTTTGGTTAAGGCGAGGAAAAGCTTGGTGTAAGAAATTGACTTTTTTTAGAATCTGGCTTTTAAATTACCTATTCCCATAGTCGAGTTGTGTAGAGAAGATGATTTTACGATTTATTTCGGATTCTTATTTGATACATTCCCTCTCATTGGAAATTCCTGGGCATGCCACCGACCACGAAAATATAAATCAATTATTTTTTATTTTATGTTTTATACGTCAAAAAATATATTATATTATTATATGTATTATACTCCAACTGTACGCTCCACGTAAAATAATTTCTGTAAATATGATTTGATTGATTATAGTTAGATATTATTAAATTGTGTCAAATAAACATAGAAATGTCTGGTTTTAACTTTATTCGAGCATATTTATCAAAATTAAATCCAATTCAGTTATAAAAATAGTGATTTCGTAAAATTATTAGCACATGTTAATCGTTTCTAGATATTACATTCGAATGAACTAATGGGATTTTTTGCCTGAACTCACTTTTATATTATTATAGTCATTTAAGTCGATTCAATACAAGTATTTAGGTTTGATTGTGAAAGAAAGTAAGTATAGATATCTACTTACAGTAGCTTACTCAGGATTTTTCAATGGGAGGTGGGGGAGATTGAAAATTGATAATCAATTAGTGGTTTTGTCACAAGTTTGAAAAATAAATTAGGTGCATTTTCACTTTTGACCAATAATAAACATAAAATAGAGGTACATAAAAAAATTTAAAAAAAAGGACGGGTATACTTCGCATGTGGTTACTATTGTAGATGAGAAGTTTGGAAGGTAGGATTTAAATCGGAATTTAATATATATCCGTAAGCAACAATAAACCATTGCTACCAAAAAAACGATTCTGAGCGAAATTCAGTTAATATAGTTGCTTGTCAAAAATACATATGAAAAATACATATGTCATATTATGTTAAAATGATTACAACAATGTGCATTTCCATGACAAAAATTATTGTTTAGAAAAAAATTAAAACAATAAAAACTTAATAATAACAAAAAATAATTAAAAACGGTTGCCAATGACGACCTTATTTTTAATCTTTTAATCTTGTCTAACCTAAAGAACCAGGCTTTCCTTATTATCTCGAATATTAATGAGGATTTCAAAAAATGACCTCTTTAAAGTATCACCCAGAGAACATTTCCATTTCCACCAGAAAAGGTGTTATACTTGATAATCTAAGTAAGATTTCTGGCTGTAAAAGTGTTCACATAAAAAAATAAAAAAAATAAAATATCTTTGTAAAACCAATACATTCTTCGCTTAACTTAGAATTTAAGAACCTACCGTTTTTTTTTTCTTCAAATTAAAATTTTAAAAAATTCGATATTTTTCTGCCATAATGAATAATTAAATAGTTATTTTAGTTTGATACTATGAGATACGTTTTATGCGAAAAACGAAAAACCTATAAAAAAATATAATTACTTTGATACTCAAGAGCAATAAGTGTAAACGAAATTATGTACATACTTACCTAATTGTTTTTCACTAATTAAAGGTTATATTATTATTTACAACATCCGTGGGCTAATTTAACGATGCGTTAACTAATATTGTTAACATCAGTTCAGTATGTTCAATATTGCAATTTATAATAAATTTAATTATCTCATTATCTAAGGTTCCGTGGTAGCCCGCGCATGCATGGTAACATCAACCAAAAAAAGTTGTAATTATTACAAAACCATTGTTTATACTTTATAACGAATGTGACCACAGTTAAAATAAATAATAAAAAACAATAATCTTAGTAGATCTTAGTGATCTATAGTAATATAGTAAGGTTATTAATAGACGGCGGTGTTAAATTAAAATATTTACCTACGTATGTAGCGTATTTTATGAAAAAAGTCCTTATTTACTATTGTTACAGTTGAAACTTAAAAAATATAAACAAATATGTATGTAGATATATATATATATATATAAATACCGTAAATGGGGGGAGGCTTCTGCCCTGTAGCCCCCTCCCCAGAGTACACCACTGCTTACTTATGAATTTATTTTATTTTATCAGAGAGCTAATAAAATAAATAGTTCTAAATGTTTTTTAAATCACCTGATACTACACAAATTGCAAAATTTGTTTGTTAAGCTAAAAAAAAAAATTGGCATGTCATAAACTTATTACGAACTTTGGTTATGTGATCAATGTGACCATAATGTTTTAAGATTTTAAACAATAATATATTGTATGATTTTGCCGTTTTGTATTCTTCTTCTTTATTAAAAAATGAAATAAGATATTTTTGCAATACATAACAATTAAAACATGACTTGTGCGTTGTAATTACCAGTATATTACATTTCATATAACTACTCGGTTTTAATCACATCGTTATTATTACCTACTGATTTTCAATAGACTGCAATTTCTTTGTGTATTGATATTAAAATATAGTCTATCATTTTCATTCATTACATGATAATAATATACTTATCGTGTCTGTATACTTGTCAATTTATTTCTGGGTTTTATATTTTCATTAAAGTCACTGTTGACATTTATTCAACTTTCACAAGAGATATGTGATGATATACGGATACTATCGTTACATTATATATATATATATATATTTTGTATTTACAAATAGTAGGTTTTAAATTTACAAAATATTAAATTATTCATAAAAAATAAAAATATAGAATATATTATGTAGATCTTGTCTTACATAATGTATACAATTACATATTTTATTCTTATAATTAGATATTATATTATAAAAATGTATATAATGTATATAATTACCGATGAAACTATTGTATAATCATTACTAGGGACCGGATTTATATGCAAATGTATATATGTATTGGAATAAGCTTTTTGAAATCTGATGAGCATTGTCCCCGATTTAGATCATTCTTATTAAAATAACACTCATTTTATTTTACATATTTTGCATATTTCAACGTTTTTCCCTATTAAATGCATATTGAATGCATATTTGTAGTTTTATAGTGCATATTATTATTTATAGCACATATTCGTTTTTCGTCGTACTACCTGAAGATTTAAATGCAAGTGATATTGCATGTATGAAGTACGCTCCCATAAATACTGCTGAGGTCGAACGAAGTTTTTCAATGTATACAAATGTACTTACAGATAATCGGAGGAATTTAACGTTTGAACACATTAAGGAACTTCTGATCATCCAATGCAATAAGGAAAAATATGAATTCAATTTTTGAAGACGAAGACGACAAAATACTTTCAAAGCTTTTTTATACTTTTTTAATTATTATTTTTACATAATTTTACATAATATATTTACATATACATACATTTTATATATTTTTACATAATTTTAAATAAAATTTTAAGTGCAAAATTAAGTACATATTTAAAAATAAATACATATTTTATAGCTAATTACAGCATTTTTAGAAGCATATTTGAGGATTTTTCGTGCATATAAATCCGGTCCCTAATCATTACACTTTGCAGATAATGCACGGGCCAATGTATTTAAATTTTTTCAGAAGAAATTTAAAGAACGTGATATCAAGTTAATAATCAATACTAAAATGGTTTATTTCTAAAGGGGTAAATTAATATTAATTAATTGTATTAATTGTAAAGTAAATTCTAGATATCTTACTCGTACAATAATTATAATAGATTAATAAAAGAAGCGAAGAAAATATCTATTTGGGGTAGCATAACTCATCACACATAAGTACTCTGTGTCTGTAATTTCTATGTACCATATAGATACCTCAGTTTATGTTCTCAGGGATTTTTATTGGGGAGGGGGGATATAAAAATTATTTGCAAGAAAAATCACATTTATTATTATTACCACTTTTTTTTTAATAATTTGAATATAAATTATTGTATTTCGACAGTTACACAAGATAAAAACGATTATTACCCCTTTTTAACTCATTGGGCTCTCTAGAAAGGTTTTAGGTCTTTTCATACATAAAAATGTTCTTTTAGTCAACCTATATATTCGTATGATGCATAATATTTTCACTAAATGACAATTGTTGAGAAAAAACAATTGACTAGATAAACGTAAAGAATCAATGGCTGTTTTAAGAAATGCATTATTTGCTTTCAGTTTTTCCTGTCATATTCTATGTTCAGCAGTAAAAATTTGAAAATCGGGGGTTCAGATAAAATTTAACAAATTTTTCAATGGTTCATATTCAATTTTATGGAATAATAAACATTAAAAATCTGAACAGTATATTATATAATAACAAATTTTTCTGCCATTTTCTTTTCCATTTTAAACGTTTTCATCTAAAAAAGTGGAACACTGATATTATAGAGTTGTCCAATCTACATGACCGTAAGTTGCCCAACCTGTATATACCTATAGACTATACGTCTATCCCTTTAAGACCGTAATACATAGTATTTACTAATGTAGAAAATGATAACGAGTCAATAATTTTATTATTTATTAATTACCACTAAATATCAATATTATTTATAGAAATCACTAAAGGAAAAAAAAAATACAACAATAGGTCAATACTATTGTTATTTGGTAATAAAAAAAAAAAGATCATAAGATGGGATCCATCCCCCCCTTCTGTGAATACGCCCATGAGGTACCTAGTTCAATGGCACCAAGTAAATTTTCACAATATTGAATGACTGCTGCAACGACAATTACAACACGTTTTTAATTACTGTTTAGTTATTGCGGTGTTCATCGAATTCTTAATATTTCACTGAAGATATAATAAAAACATTGTTTTTTTTTTTACACATCTACTCGTATAATATTATACCTACCATATAAAATAATACTATTTATTTATTATCCATGAATATAACTATATAATTGTATTTTGTAAGCACTCTTAAAATAGTATACATACATATATGTATATATATGTATTAGCTATACGAATAAAATACAAAAACAATTATCTATGTAGGCTTCTTTAAAATAATATAGGTTGGTGTATAATGGATGTCCCGTCACAGCTTTTTCTGTTATTGTGACAAAATCAATGTAAATGTAAACAACTATTAAGTTTTATTATTTTCAATTTTGGTTTTTGTTGTAATACAAATAAATCATATTTGTAAGCATTCGAAATTTATATACATAACTTATATTTCTATTTTCTAGACGAGGTTAAATGTTTGAGCTATTTTTAAGCATTTTACATTTTCAATTTTTTTTTTTTTTTTACGTACCTAGTTTTATTTGATAAACACTATGTGAATATAATTGTTTGACCAAATAGAAATGGTTGAAAATTTAACAAGAGGTTCATTATAAGTTGTACTTAGTGGTAAAAGAGAAAAAAAAGAGTGCAATGTAGTAATTTTTTTTTAAAATGGTTTTAAGGTTGAACTTTGATGAAAATCGTAAATATTACGGCTTCCGAAATCATGGATAATGTATAAATGAACTTAACTTAGAATCGCTTTTTGTTAGCAATGGTTTATCGCGTAGTAAATTTTATGAAAGTTCAAATTGTCTAGATGATACTTTAAAGAGGTTGTTTTTTGATTTTCAACGCCATTTTTTAAATAAAAGCATGTAAGTAAGAAAAAACATAGCAAAACGTATGATTTCACGATTTCATTATTTTATAAAAACACGAACAACGTTTTCTATCGGAAAAAATGATTTGATTGAAAAATCACATGATACCTTTTTTGTTGCCTTTCTTACGATATCATGGCGAAAATGTTTGAGCTTTTAAGGAATTTTAATTTTTGGGAGTTTTTTTGCTGTAATTGGGTTATAAATACACATAGAGACTTGAAACTTGGTAATAATACTTATTAAATTATAAATTATAAATTAGATTTATCTAAACGTGGTCAAATTTTAAAAACCATCGGACTATTTCTTTTTAAATTAGCGTTTCGAAATCAAATTTAAACAAAAATCACAAAAAAAAATTACGGCTCTTTAAATTATGAAATACTGAACTGTGCTCGAAATAGTCTTTCGTTAAGCAATGGTTTATAGTTGCTTACAGATATAAATGAAATAACTTACCTTCCCAACTTCTCACCTACAACAGTGTCCGCTTCCATTCCCATATTTTTTATCGAAGACGTAAAGTATTAATGTACATCTTCGCAGATTCGTCGTCATTTATTTTTAAAAGTTGCATGTTTTTGACGTATTCATTTATTTTAATATTTAATTCACAAATACTAAAAACTTCCTTTTATTAATATTGCAATTTTGAATACATATTTCAATTATTCAGATTGTAATCTCCACAGATAGGAACGAATTATTGAAGTTTATTCATTAAAATTTTAATTTAGATATTATGTAATTGGTCATCTGTTATACATCATGCTCAGATCGTGATTAACACAGTTATTATTTTCATTGTTTCACTCTGTTATTTCGATATTATAATATTATTTGATGCACTTTCGCAATATTATTGTGTTACATATATATACTCGTATATATATTTTAAATAGTTAATTAAACATTCGATCCAAGTTATTTTAGTTAAAATTATTTAATTACTTTAATCAGGTAATTCAGTTTTATATTTATGATAACCGGTTAACATATTGCAATTTAAATACATTTTAAATATTAGCCGTAGTACTAATTGAAATGATTTAAATTTGAGAGATCATCACTGCAGTAACATTAATTGCCGTCTCTATTTCTCTAACGGCCGATAGAATAATATCAAACATGAGTTTTTGGAGTTCTATATCATAGGTGCAATTAGCTTAAAACACAAATTATCTCACAAAATTAAAAACAACTATAATGTTTGGTTGTGATTTTTAATTTCTTATTCCCAGAAAATCGTTTGTAGTTAAAAATATTAATTTTAAATTCTGAGTCGAACGAGAAATGTATTGGTTTTACAATGATGTTTTTTTTTTTTTATACCTGTGGAATAATTTTTCTACCAAAATCTTACCCCGATTTTCAAGCATAGCACTTTTCTTGAAAGGAAGCCTGACTGGAGTGGTACTTTAGGGAGGTCATTTTTTAATTTTCCCAAGAGTTTTCCCAATAATTAAGAAAAAACAGGGGAAAAATTGAGAAAAACGTAGGAAAAACGGAAAAGTAGATATAATATTAATAAATATAATTAAAGAAAATATGTATTGCATACTATGTAATTAATTTACCATAATGTGACTTATATATTGTTGACGAAGCAAAAATAATAACGGAATTCTGCTCAGAATCGTTTTTTGTTAACAATGGTTGGTTAATCGTTGCGTACAGGTATACATTAAATTTCCTCTTTACTCTCCAAATATTTCACTTATAACAGTGGCCCACCTACATGCGAAATATGTCTGTCGTTTTTTTCGGTTAATCTCAATATAAAACTTAGTACCTATTTAATGAAAATACAAAAAATTATCACTGTGAAATCAGTAAACGTTGTCATTTTTAATTTGTTGAAAATATGTTTGTTGCAAGTTTATTTTTTTTAAACTAGTCATAATATAGGTTTAATGGTCGGTAGATAAAATACAGTGTCTTTGGAACTTCGAAAACACGTTCTTTATGTACTAATGGTTGGAAATATTGATATAGCAAATGTTACTGTGACGTCTACTTAATATTCACGCCTTTCATAAAATTGTATGATACTTAAATCATCTGTTACGTGATTTTATTTCAATTTATATTACTAGCTATTTCGAGCCATAATTGGAAATATTGCCCTTTAAAGTTTTATTTTTATGATCCTCTGGAAAAAGCCACTAGGCTAACTTATAACTTATATTATAAACCTAGTATGTGTTGTTAATATGTCGTTAAGTATAAGGTTATAAGTTCAATTACACGAAAGGAGTAAAAATTCAATGAACTAATATAATATGAAAATGCGTTATAACATTGTATGGCGTAATTTATAGTGTATAAAAATATAATTACGAATCAAAAAAACACATAAGTAGCAGAGCTTTATCACTAGAGTCAAATTTTCTAGAACTTGAATTAATAAAAACATTGTCCTAACATTGTCTACTTCCAAACTTGAATAGTATAATACATTTTAGAAAGTTGTATAAAAAATTTGTTTGAATTTTTTGGATTCTGAGTGGAGCGAGGATTGGTTTTACAATGATGTTTACTTCTAGGTTCTAAGTAAAACCAGAATTGCCAAAACTTTTGAGATTTTAAGGAATTTTAATTTTTAGGAGACTTTTGCTGTAATTCGGTTATAAATACATGTAGAGACTTGAAACTTGGTAATAATACTTATATTGGACTTACATAACGTGATACAATTTTAAAAATCGTCGGATGTTTTTTTTTTTGTAATAAATGTTTTTAAATAAAAGCATGTAAGTGAAAAAAAACGTAGAAAAACGTATAATTTCACGATTTCATTGTTTTATAAAAACACGAACAACGTTTTCTATCAGAAAAAATGATTTGATTGAAAAATCACATGATACCTTTTTTAATTAATTTCTTACGATATTATGGCGAAAACTTTTGAGCTTTTAAGGAATTTTAATTTTTGGGAGTTTTTTTTGCTGTACTTCGGTTATAAATACACATAGAGACTTGAAACTTGGTAATAATACTTATATAAGACTTACCTAAACGTGGTAAAATTTTAAAAATCATCGGACTTTCTTTTTTAGATTAGCGTTTTGAAATCAAATCTAAACGAAAATCGCAAAACAAATTACGGTACTTTAAATTATGAATTACTGAACTGCGCTCGAAATGGTTTTTTGTTAAGCAATGGTTTATCGTTGCTTATAGATAAACGAAATAACTTTATGTATCCTACCTTCTCAATTTCTTACCTACAAGTGTCCGCTTCAATTCCCAGTATCAGCTCTTTTTTTTATATTCAGTCGCCTTTTATATTTTGACTGTGATATATTGATTTTTAATTCGAAACTGGTGGTATAATAATAATCTCATCATAATACTTATCATAACTTATCATAAGATTCCAAGAGACGCATTCATTTATTTTTTTATTTTACTTTTATTTCTTCATTTTTTATTTATATATTTTATATATATTTATTTATTTATTTATTAATATATATATATTTATTAATGAGTATTAATAGTAATTATTAAAAGTAATTGTTAGACTTGAACAGAAATACTTGAAAATATAACAGGAGGTTCAATAAGAATCTTACTTTGTAGTCAAAAAAAAAAAAAAAAAATTGAGTATAATGTAGTATTTATTTTATAAGGGAATTTTAATATCAAATTTTGACAAAAATCGTTTGAGTAAATATTATGTGGAACAAATCTAATTTTTCAATTAATTTTTTTTGAACATATGTATATTGCCGATTTAAGAACAATGGTGAAGTTAGAATTAAGCGAACTGATTAAGTTTTGAATTTATAGCTTTTTCAAGTTCTGATATTATGCAAATATTTTATGTTATGTTAAATAACTCTATATTGTTTTCTTAAAGCATATTTGTCATGATCTAATGTTTATTTATGCTTATTATCATCCAAAGGGTTCTGGATTTAAATCAATGGGTTGAAAAGAAATTATTTACATTTTTTAGTATTTTGGATGTACCTATAGACCCAAGTGATCGTTCCCTCGGACTATTTTAATTGAAAAATACCCCTTGATTTGCTGTGCAAACTTTTCTATCAGAAATCTTGCACTCATGTATCAAGTGTATCAAGAAAGAAAATTTTATTTACATGGTAATTTAAGGATGTCATTTTTTGAAATTTCATAATATCTGTGAAAAACCGGAAAAAAATTTGGGAAAACAGAAAATGTATGAAATGTAGTTATTAGTAAAAATACATTACGATTTTTTTCTTTGTCAACAAATTTTCTACCAGCAATTTTGTTCAGATTTACAAGCATGATAGCACTTTTTCTAAGGGAATCTCTCTGGGGAGGTAATTTTTCAATTTTCCCAAGAGTTTTCCCAGAAAATGTGAAAAATCGGGAAAAAACATGGGAAAACTGGAAAAAATGCAGGAAAAACGGAGAAATCGGTACAATATTAAACAGATATTATTAAAGAATATATAATGCCTATTTAATGAGGTATTTTACCATAATATAACATATTTATCGTTGAAATAGCATCATTATAAACTGAACTACGCTCAAAATCGTTTTTTCGTTAGCAATGGTTTGTTGTTGCTTACAAATACACATTAAATTACCTATAACAGTGGCTGAACCTATTTCCATTATCCTAGAACGTCTTTTTTAAACATTTATTTTTTGTGAAAACATTTTTTCTACCGAACAGCTAACTTTGAATATTAAGTATAGTACTTTTTCTGAGAGAAACTGTTCTCTGGGTAGTACATTAGAGAGGTTATTTTTTTATATTATCATTAATATTTGTGATAATGAGGAATATCTGGTGGTTTAGGTTAGAAAAAAATGAAAGATTAATAATAGGGTTGTCATTGGCAGTCTTTTTTATTTATTTTTTGTTATTATTAAGTTTTTATTATTTTAATCTTTTTTAAATAATCATTGTTGTCATGGAAACTCACAATGTGAGTTATATAACTTTACTTTAATATGACATTTTGCATATATTGTATGGTCGACAAAGCCACACTATCAGCTGAACTCCGCTCAGAATCGTTTTTTCGTAAGTATTGGGTTATCGTTGCTTACAGATATACAATAAATTTCCGTCTGTACTCTACCTTCTCAACTTTCCACCTACAAAAGTGGTTGTATTCATATGCGAAGTATGTATGTCCATTTTTTTTTTCACGTTTGCACGACGGTAAAAATGCAACAAAATTCCGTTGCTGAGGAAATAGTATTAATATCCGTTATATTTTTACATATTGTTTATGTGTTTAGTTTATTTTTAAAATGTGACGTGTTCACGGGTATATACACACTGGTCTATATTTGAAATAAGTATATGTAGGTGTGATTTGTCAATTTTTAATTGAGTACCTATAAGTTATTAAAACGCATATTTTGATAAAATATTATATAATAACAAAATATTAGTCGTTTAGGTAGATATAATGACTTAATAGTAATAAGGTATAATAAATTTACTGGCACTTACAATATAGGAAAACAAAATAAATTTCACAGCATGTGATGAATAGTGAAAACATACGTTTATTTCAAAAATGGTACAATTAGAGTTGTTATCGACCATTTAAACCACGAGAATGTGGCGTACACGTACACACTTTTTTGTGAAAAATATATAAAATTATAGTTCGGATGCAGTCCCGTAAATATAAAACGATTTCGTTCGTCTTTTTATTATAAAGTTAATTGTATAATGATAATAATTATTATTGACGAATTTACGCCTAAGGATGCATTACTAAATTGACGAGAAAATCAGCAATGACTCGACGGTATACTCATACAGTGTAGGTATTTATCGTTTTCTTAGATTCTGAATATGGCGAGGAATCTATTAGATTTACTATGATGTTTTTTCCTGTCTATTAACAAGGTTTTCTACCAAAAATTTCACTCCGATTGTGTACATTAAGGTGTAGTATATTTTATGAAAAAAAAAAAAAAAATGTTGTCTTATTGGTGAATTGTGGAGGTTATTTTTTTTTACTTTCCTGTAGTTTTCTCAATGAGAAAAACGTAGGAAAATCAGGTAAACGATTGGAAATAATGGGTAATTTTTTTTCGATTTGGTGCTTTTGTTGTTGTTATTCTGTTAGAAATAATCATAGAGACTTGCAATTTTTAGCAGATACTTATATTAGTCTTTTCTGAAGGTATTTATAGGCATTTTAAATTGTCAATGTTTTTTTAGTTCCTATGTGGATAAAATAGTTTATGCTTGAATACTTTACACGAGATTCATCATAAGTTGTATTTAGTAGTCAAAAACAAAAGTTAAGCGTAATTCATAGGTGTAGAAGTATTTTTATAAGCGTTTTAATTTCAAATTTCGACGAAAATCATAAAAATCATGGAATTTGAAAACATTTTTAACCAAACTTGGCTCAGAATCGATTTTTTTCTATTATAAATTTGTGTATATTATACGATGACGGTGTTGAAACACTGCTACAATATTGCATATTATCGAGTTCGAGTATAACTCTAGGTATTATAATATCGGTGGAGAATTAATGCGGTATATACCTAATACAACCTCTGTGGTTACATCATATCGTAATATAGTTTGGTGTGCTATAATGTGTATTGCATATAATTATTACTAGCTATACATACACAAACTCTTCGTTATCGTCAAATAACAGTGCCGCCGCACACTAGACACAATAATAATAATATAATATGATTTCTCTTCGTCGAAACTTATTATTATTGTACACGAACGCCAGGTACGTTTTTTTTTCTTATTCTTATTATAAACGAAACTAGCTTTACGCGCGCTAGCTGCAGCGGCCGTAAAAAGATAATTTTATGTAAGATTACTTGACCTTAAAAAATTGCGTGGAGTCTCAAGTGAAATACTACAATCAATTATACCGATTGTTCGCTACTGATGCTGCTGTTACATGCTGTGTCGTGTTAATTTTTTACATCATGCTCGGTCAGATGAATATTGGTTTTTTTTTTTGAATGTCATATTAGTATATGTGATCGGACGAGATTCCGTTTTTATTTTGTTTTTTTTTTTTTTTATTATGTTATCCGACAGTAAATCACCAAACGATGAACGCGCGAAATCCACGAATCAAACAAAAATAATATTCTTTAGTTATAATCGAAACTAAATATTTAAATCGCTTAATGTTAATGTTAATATTTTCAAACATGTTATGAAACAGCCCGTAGGCATGTATACACAAAACGCATTGAGTTTGACGATACAAATATATGTAAACAGTTGAGTTGACTATAATTAGAGCTTGAATATGATTGTAATGTCCCATAGAACCCCAACAAATCTCTAAAAATAAATTCAAAATAATCTACCTATACAAATACGATTTTTGAAAAATTTGATACTTAAACGCTTATATATATATATAAAAAAAAAAAAAATACTACATGACACTCAATTTTTTTTTAATCACCAAGTACAACTATAATGAAATTTCTGTTAAGTTAACAGTTTTCAGTCAAAAGTCAAAAGTTTTTTGTTTAGTCAAATAATTTTAATCACAGAGTACCTACCAAATAAAAATTATGTAAAAAACTCGCAAAATTGAAATGTCTATTAATATCTCAAAAATTTTCAAATGTTTTGAACAAATTACCATGTATAGAAAAGGCAAATATAAGTTTTATGTTAAAATATCAAGTCTTTTATAAGCGAATATGTTTCACTGAATTACAATAAAAAAACAAATTTGAAAATAATAAAACTATTAATTTCTTAAACTTTACCGTTTTTTCTACGTACTTTTTTCGGTTTTGCTCAATTATCAAAAAAACCACTTCTGACACATCAACTAGATTAAAAATACGTCTCTAAACATTTTTTTTGGTTAAAGCAATATTTGTAGTAGAAAACATAATTCTCAAAAATTAAAAGGCACGCCGTAAATTTTTGCCATTTTACCTACAATTTTGTTTCCGGTTATTTCCAATTATTGTGAAAATCCTTTGGAGTAACAAAAAATTACCCCCTTAATACACCAACTGAAAACAAAACAATTCCCTTCAGAAAAGTTGCTACACTTGATATATCGGATCCAAGATTTCTAGTAGAAAAGTTGTTCACACACACATACACACAAATACAAATACAACAAAAAATACAAAAACACATATCATAGTAAAACCAATGGATCACACTCGCTACGTTCCATACCTAAAATATATATAGGTTAACGTGAAAAGAAAAACAGCTGTTATCATCCGTCAACTTGTGTTAGTGATATTTTGGTAGGTATGTGGTATTTTTTTTAATAAGAAATTATTGATACATTTTAAAACATATAATATGCGTATTTTGTAACATGTATAATAAATTATTTTAAAATAAACATGTGTTGTAATTAAATGATATTAGGGCGTTTTCGCATAAAACGATAATATCGACAGAATATGTTGTCGGTGGCGGTGTAGGCCCATTAGGATTGGTCAATTTTCGTACAGTTATCAGTTATCGGTAAGTACGAAAATTGTATAGCCGAATAGTTCTAATATTTCGAGAGAAATTATAAAAACGTATTGACGATAAATGAGTTTTAATACTGAAATAAATTATAACAAAAAAAGATTAGCACTACTGGCATTGTTACGTCTACGAAAAACACGTCGTTTAATATTATGCGTTCAACGTTCAACAAGAAAGAATTAAGCGCATCCTATTTTAGAAGTCAGAAATATATTGTGGAAGGTGAATTTTTACTATTTCGGTACGTCGACGGCGGTATTAAAAATGGACTGTCAATTTGTATTGGTCGTTGAAACAATACAAAAATCATCCAACATCCGTAATCTGTCAGACGTGCACACCGACATCGTTGTCCTGAAACATAATATTTTTTTCGGATCGGAGTTGTTTTTATACAGACAAATCATATATTTAAAACGGCACGAATTTGGATGTAAACCAATATCGATATGAATAACAATAAATTGTTCCTTGTAAAAATCATAGACCTTATACACCTACTCAGTAACTTGGCAACTAAATATTGCGTCCGGAATGAATCTTTAAAATGTGACCTTAAAACTTTAATTTATAATGAAAACTCAATGTTGAATGTTTTTTAAAAATTACAACAAATAAGAGTTTTAATTACCTTATATCTCACTATTGAATTTCCTAAATTTTAAATTGTTTTAATTATTTATTAATTAATTTTTAACATAATACCCCCCCCCTCTTCTTACCGTCCAATTTATACTAATAAATGCTGTAGTTCATAGTGTACACGTCAAATGGTGTCTCACAAAGCACTAAAGCACTACGCACATGCGCAATAAGCCATGGGAATACGGAATATTTAATTACTATTTACGTGGTAAATTATTGTAATGCATGAGCATTATTGTTATCACTTATCATTTCTGTAACAGATTTTATTAAAAATTAAAATATTTGCAATACCTACTTCGGAATGTGGATTGATTATTCATAAATGCACAATACATTTCAAAATTGTATTCAGCTGCTGTACTTCTCGCGTCACAAGATAACCACAATAATTATTGTGTGGAACTAAAAAATAAATAAACTTCTTCGAATGAATGGGTATCACTGCGATTTTACTTATCATGACAGCATCAACCTACTGCGCCAGATTTGGATGTTCCGTCTATAAGTCTATAGTGAAAACGCCCTTAGTCCATGTCACAGTCTGATAACAATTTATATGATTAATTTATGACGGAGGTATAGTTATGGTTTTATTGATCAACGATGTCACTGACGATGTGTTTTGACTAGACGGACGGACGATTAAAAATACCATTTTATTTTTATTTTTTGTAACTGATCATTTTTTTTTTTTTTATTGATGTCTGGGACTTGTATAATATGTATCAGGGGTCCTCAATCATTTTAGCACTACGGATCGCTTAGACAATTTTGTGTAGGCCGCGGATCATCAAGATTTACTATGAATTTTTATTTACTTTATATTTTTTTCTACTTAACTTTGTACTTTTTCTTTGTGTTCAGCGGGTAATAATAACGTAAGTAAATTATGTGCAATAAATGTATACATACATACTCAACGTAATATATACATCGAAAACCACTGTCACTTTACGTTGAATATTTTTTTCAATTTTGTAGGTATGTCCTCGCGAACTACTAAACAATATCTCGCTGACCACCAATGGTCCACGATCACAGGTTGAGAATAACTATAGATTAGAGAAATAGACAATATTATTATAAATCCGTGTATGATTCGCATTTTTACACCATCGACCGAATTTAATGAGTAAATATTATTACATAGGTAAACAAATGGAATACCTAGGTAAAATCGGGACAGATAAATTATTCATTGAAAAGTATCGGTACTAGTTCCGGTTGAAAATAAAAAATCAAAAAAGACACATTTTTTCTCCTCGAAATTTGTTTCAGTTACTATGTCATAATAAGTATCAATGATACCAGATTACCCTCCTCCACTTAAACGGATTCCAGACCTGCCACCTTATATCAGCATAATTATTATCTAATAAAATATAATAACTTGCGTACTATAATTATATATTATTGGATCTCAAAACTGTGTCGGAGTTTATTGCCACGTCGAAGCATCGTATTCTGAAGGCTTATACAAGTGTATACAATACAAAATGTAAATCAGTTACTCTCGTCGCACAATCGCTTCGGTAATTTAATTTTGTTATATACCTATACGATATAATTATACCACGACTATTATCTCGGCGGGTATACACAATAATTATACGAATAACTAGCGAATTAGAGACAATGGGTCTTTCTGGTATAGTATAAAATCGGGTGTGGGAGGGATGGAAGATATCGCATCAATAAATTAAGATTAATGTATTATTATTATTTTCGTCGTTTATTACAGTGTACACAGTATAATAATCGAATAAATAACTCGAAAAATAGCTTATATTAATGTAATTAGAGAGTATATTATTTTACTCGTATTTTATTTTATGATTATTTTAAGCCATCATGGTGAGAAGGGGGAGAGGCAAGCCCTACAGTTTATTGTTTATAATAATTTTTATTTTTTTGAGGCCAAGGTCGATTTACACACGAAATCCCGCCGTCCAGTGTCCGCCAAATATAGTCTTGAGGCTCATCGATATTATGTTATGATACCAATAGGATGATATATATATATACAATAATATAAATTTAGTACCTACAGTGGCATGCACAAGAGTGGAGGTAATGTGTTATATCTCCTTCCATAATGGCTTAAAAATACAATAATTATGAGTATTGATATAGTCGTTCAATCTTGAAATATATGTACTTCAGTAAAGTTGCAAGGTAAAGTTCGATAATGGATTGATTAAAAATAGGCTTTTTGGATCTGGCTTTTAAATTCTGAAATACATTTAAGAAAACTCGAAGGATTTATTCATTGCGATTCGTATGCTAGATAACCTATCCTATTAGAAATTCCCGGACACGCTACTGATTCAGAGTATTACCATTGAAACGAATTCTGACCTCACACTTTTGTCTTATTACAACGATGATAGCAGCCTGTCGTTCGGTATTTATTTAGTTCTATTCAATCACACCAGTAGTGGGTGCTTCGACATTAAATTATTAATTCGAAACGTAAAATAAATCACGCAGCAAAGTGAAGAGGTTTCGTTTTTTTTCTGTCGTTTTACAATGTTACGAGTTTTTAATGAACGTGGCAGTGATAAACGATTATTATTATTGATAATATTATGTTGGTATAGATATATCGTATACTATTATAATAATGATAAACAAACATATTATTCGTCACCATTCACCGGGTGGTCGGTAAACGACATGCGTTTTAGGCAAGGTTAATTGCATCGTCGAGGCTCTGTCGGGAGTTATCAGCTAACGCAACGTGATTTTAAAACGACCACGCTGTTAAAAAATATGATTAGGACGGTTAATGATTATATATCACGTTGTTCGTATACCTGGCGGGTTTTTTTTCACTTATAAAATGTGAGATGAAGTATATTGTATAATACCTACGGGAATTTCTGCAGTAATGTCCGATAACAAATTATACAATATAATTATGTAGCGAACGTTTATCTAATAGATTTTTTTTCAAACTCATGGTCAGTGGTTTTTTTTTTTTATTTATATAAATACACTAGAAATATAGTAGGTATACATTACAAGTAATAATAAAAAAAAAAAAAAAAAAAAATTGTTTTTAGCCCTTTGCCATATTAGTTATAGCTCAAAACTGACAACAATATAGATACTTATAAATTATATATATTTTGCTATGATTGATTTTGGAAATAGCTAAATATGTGTACATTAATTATCTGTTAATAATAATTACCTACAAATGTACATAGTTAATTATTAATAGAACAATACTCGAACAGTTGTCGATTATATAGTTAATTAAGATAATTAAATTAAATGTTATAAAAACATAGGTAGATATGAAAAAGTGACAATGGATAGAGAGCGTCGCTGTAATATTTCTCGTCTCTTTCTCGTATTTCTCAGATGATCTTACTCATATGTGAAACTAGATAATTTTATTAGGACAGGCCAAATGATAAATGTGAACAAAATTGTAGGCATTTTAGTTACGGAAATTAAGTTTTTAATTTAAAAATTTTTTTTAAAATAATTTTAAAGTCAGTATATAATATGTTATCCAGTCAGTATTAGGTCAGCCCATGACCAGACTGGCCTGACCTGTAGTTTCACTCGTGTTCATACTCCAAACTTAAAAAAAGTTTGTTTTATTCGATTCTGAGATTCTGAAAATTATAATATGTTTGTAAATTACTTTATAGGAAGTTTCTATTGTAGCATTTTTGATTTAGTTGGTGCATAGATTTAGCGCATTATTTTTGGTTTTTCTTGTCGATTGCTTAATAGGTAAATGAGTAAAATTGATAATTTTATTTCCAAAGGTTTTACTATGATGTGTGTGTATGTATTAGTTTTTTTTGTCTGTGAACAACTTTTCTACCAGAAAACTTGTTCCGAAGCATTGAGGAGATCGATTTTCTAAGGATTTTTCGAAATAATTGTGAAATACCGAAAGAAAATTATAAGTAAATCGGCAAATATTTATGGCACGCCACGCCGTGGCGTTACGGTTTTTATTGTTTTCATTGTGTTTACATGATATTTCCTACCAGAAATATTGCCCCAATTCAAAAATGACATTTGATCGATTTTGTTTTTATTAATATATAGTCACAGTCAAAGAAAGTTAACCAAAAAATTAAAATTGATTGTATTAACTGCAACATAGCGTCCCAGTGTACCCACGTGAAATTTTACCGGGGCTAAAATTGCACTTATTATTATTTTTTAATAATTTTAATTACCTGTTGTTTCGTCGAATAAATATTACTACACTACGGAGAGGGTTTTACTTTGTTTATTATATTATCGATAGTTAATTTACTACAGATGGATATTGAATTTTAATCGGTGTAGTTTTACTGATATATGTAGCTTTGGAACTTGTATTATTCAAATGAACTTCTAATTCCTTATCCCCAGACTCAATTCGAAATTTTAATATTTCTCGAAAATGTCCATCATTGAGTTTGGAAGATAAAGCGAATTCATTATTTCTCAACAAAGGTCCGCCATCCCGATTTCTATATTTTAGGGTAAATTATTAGATGGCGGTTCTTATAACGATACGATATTTTATGAAACTTATTGATAATTATTCTTCCACACAAACATAATCATTTTTTTGATTTATACATTTATACATAAACAAATTTATAATAATATAATTATATACTTAGTTACATTATTTATTTAATTTAACTTATTTTTCTTTATATTATGTATACAGTCTACAAGTTCCAAGTGTCAAAAGGTTCTAAAAATAATTATAGTAAGGTTTAATTTGAGAGGTAAATAAATAAATTTAACATAGTTATTACTTATAAGTTATAACTGTCCTGACTTGAATAAATTATGAAACAAAATCATTAAAAAAAAAATAAATAGAAACTACCATCCTGAAATTTGACCTCCCGGTAAACTATCTCTTGTGAAATTTGACCAGGGAATATTTTACTGGGCGTAAAATTCCACTAGGGAAAATTTACCGATGGAGGGAGGGGGGTAAAATTTAACGGGGTAAATAATCCCGGTTACACCAGTTTAATTATTTTAATATTTTCAATTTCAGTCTCATACGGACAGTTACACCGAACACATGTGTTATTATCTCCTCTAATGTTTAAATTAATTTTTTAATTTCTATCAGAATTCTTCGTACTTTTTACCAATCGACTCAGTTTTTAATACTATACTTGATTTACCAGTAGCTTCCTAATTCAATTACGGGAAAAAAAGTAATAACAAACATTTATTTTAACTACCCGTAGTGCATGATAAAAACCAGGGACTGACCTTAATAGTTTTAACGATTCTGGTTAGGGTTCAGGTTTTTATATATTTTTTAGGGGTTTAGGTAAAATTTCTGTTTTTTAGGAAGTTTAAAATTTATATTTCAATTAAAACCGGTTTTAACCGGTATCCAATCTTTTATTTTGGTATATTTTTTTCAGACAAAAAATGTTAAAACATGTATACAGTATGTAAAGGGATGGCCTCCGGCCATGTAAAGAGGGTAGGCCAACTTAGATATTTGTCTTAGGCCCCGTGCAAATTTTAAGTTCCCGTGCTTACATTATGCAAACTAGCTAAATAGTTAAATTGAAAAAAATATATTGTTAAGTTTTAGTCTTTAGATAATATATATTTTTCTTTATTTTACTTTTTAATAAAATTTCATTAAAGATAATTAAGCATAACTACTATTTACTTACCTTAATAAAACAGTACTTGACGTTACATCACTTTCCACACATGGAAATTAAAATTAGAGAACCACTCAAACGTAGAGACTTTATCTAGTTCCATAACTGCCAGGACTATGACCACTCTAAGAAATTCTTCTCTTACTCTCCTAAATGCGTTCACTGTGGTGGTAATATAAATATAAATATAAAATTTCGCCTGCACAATTTAAATCCTTCTTCAATTCTCTGGGTCATTACTTCATTGTCAGTGGTGATATTAGGATTGCCATACAACAAATCCAAAAGATTCCTCCTTATTTCAAACTATTTATAACAACCATCTCACTATCCTCAACCCTTCCAAATCTGACCTACTGACTATCCTCTACTAGTAAGCGTTAGTACATTTTGGACATTTTCGTCACGAAAATGCCAACTAACTAAGATTATTATTTGACGGAAAGGACAGTTTTGTCCAGATAGTACTGTTAGTTTTGAATTTGTTTCAATAACCGTACATAGATTGAATCAAACATGAATAAAAACAATCCTTAAGATGGCCATAAGTGGTGACTCCGCCCTAGGATGATAATTTGCAAAATAGTATACGTAAAAAGATATATTTTGTGTAATCATGTGTTATCTACAACAATAACAACAACAAAAATAACTGACACTGGGGACGGGTGCAGACACCTTTGTAGATGAGAAGTTTAGAAGGTAGGATATATAAAGTTATTTAATTTATATTTGTATGCAATGATAAACCATTGCTAATAAAAGCGATTTGGAGAGAAGTTTGGCAAGAGATATTTGGAATGTAGTAACTTTTATAATTTTCGTCAAAATTTGATATTAAAACGCTTATGAAAAAAAAACCTAATGCATTAAACTCAAATTTGTTCTTTATAATCTTAAAAAACAGGACATACTTTGAACGATGGGTAGGCCACTGTCGTAGATGAAAAGTTGGGAAGGTAGAATATAGAAGGGAATTTAATTTATATCTGTACGTATAGATAAACCATTGCTAATTAAAAATGATTTAGAACGAAGTTTCTTTTATATATGTACACACATTTTCCCAAATACTTTACGTTTTTCCTAATTATTATGAAAATTTCTTTGAAAATCAAAATATGACTTGTCAAAATTTACTTTCAGAAAAGGTGCTACACTAATAAATTGGAGCGAGATTACTCACAGACAAATACAAAAAAAAAAAAAACACATACATCATAATAAAAGCAACGGATCCCTCGCTATGCTCTGAATCCAAAACAAATATTGTATTCGGAGGGTAGCGAGGGATCTATTGCTTTTACTATGACGTTTGTGTTTTTTTTTTTTATATTCTGAGTGGAGTCAAGAAGTTAATGGTTTACAAAGATGTTTATTTTTAAAGTGTAGTATTAAATGTAGTACCTTTTCTGAAAGAAAATCAGTGTGAGGAGGTATTTTAGGGAGGTAATATTTCGATTTTCTCGAGAGTTTTCTTATCAAATTTGAAAAACCAAAAAAAGTGAAAGAAAAACGGGAAAATATAAGAAATGTAGGTATTAGTTAAAATATATTACGGCCTTCTTTTTTACTGTGAGCAACATTTCTACTAGCAATTTAGTTCCAGCTTTAGAGAAGCTGTAGGTACTTTAGAGAGGTCATTTTTCAATTTTTCCAGGAGTTTTCCCAGCAAATGTGAAAGACCAGGAAAAAACATGGAAAAACGAAGGAAAAATGGGAAAATCGTACAATATAGAATAAATATTATTAAAGAAAATATAGAGAGCCCATTTAATTATTTTACTATAATATGACATATATATTGTTGACAAAACATCACTATCAACTGAACTCCACTAAGAATCGTCTTTTCGTCAGCAATGGTTTATTGTTGCTAACAGGTACACATTAAATTATCTATAATAGTGGCTTCACTCGTCCCCATAATCCTAGGACGTCTTGTTTAATAATATAACGTAATTATTACGTTATAAATTGCAGACAAAACGACCAAACGTAACGCCGCCGTCATGTTCTGTTTCGTACTGCTCATCTGTTTAGACCACGGTAACGTTTTGTCCTCACGTGTTGCCTAATTTTCGCGCGAAAATAAAAACGAACAGATGTATTTCGTACGATGGGTGGGTCATTGTTGTAGGTGAGAAGTTGAGAAGGTAAAGGAGAATGTATATCAGCTGTACCCAACCATAATTAATCGTTAACGAAAAATATTTCTAACCGGAGTTCGTTTACACATGTTTTGAATATTTGTGATTTGAAAATAATAAATTTCGTAAATTTTTCCGTTTTTCCTATTTTTTCTCGGTTTTTCCTATTTATCATGAAAATCCCTGGGAAAATTGATTAAACTGAAAAACTGACCTCCTTAAGGTACAGCTCCAGTCAGATTTCTATTCAAAAACATTACTACACTTTAAAATTGGACCAGAATTTCTTGTAGAAAAAAAATTAACGTCATTGTAAAATCAATACATTCCTTGCTCCACTCAGAAAGTCAGAATCTAAAATATTTTAATATCATTTAAACATAATGCAGAACCTCATGTGTTGTTATAAGTAATATAGCCAGTGTCGTATTTAAAGGATGAGGTTATAGATAAACATAACGTAAAACACTTATTATTTTGGAAAGTATTAAATATTTTCAAAATTTCTTTTATAGAACATTTAAAAAATAAGTAGCTCTAAAATATTACATTGTGGTTATTTTTTGTCACCCTAATTTAAGGGATGGAATCACTATCTACTTTTGATTTTAAAATGGCAACCTATACAAAACTTTTCATAAATACATTTAGTACTAATTTAAATACATTTTGGTGTTTACATAGATTTCAGTTAATATCAAATCGTAAGTACTGTCAATAAGTTTGCCATGAAAAAATCCCCCCCAAAAAAAAAATGTAAATAAAAAAGTTTCTCTCCGTTTGTGTGTCCATCTTCCTATATAAACGTTCCTTGTATAAATTAAATTATCCTTTACATCCTATTTTCTTAACTATTTATTTCTTATCTACTTTTTGTACCATTTCGAACCTAATAAATTAAATTTTAGAATAATATATGAAAACATTATTCTTAAAATATACATTATTTCAAGGATATCGTCATATATATTAACTGGAAGTGTAAAAAAACCTAATCGTTCAATTAATATGAAATAAAATGAATAACATGATAAATTATTAGCGTATTTATTTAATTACATGACCATTTCAATATATGAAACGCACGATTAACAATGAATTCATTTAAGGTTATTCAGCCGATATTTATAGGAGGAAACATCATTAAAATACTAGAACGGATTTAGATGAACCCGGTGTTTAATCATTTTTGAAATAGTCCCGCCAATAATAATTATAGAAGTCATAACTGCATCACCTACTCATAATTAGTTATAAGCGGAACTACGAGGTCACTTCGTCCTCCGTACTCCCATCTCTCCGTTTTAGACGTTTATTTATAACAATAATTGTTGTCGTTTTTATTGCATATTTTCAGTACATATTTATCAATTTTTCGGTGCTATAAAATAATATACACAGTTTATAATAATCATGATTTTATAACATTTTGTTAAATAATAAAATAACTCATGAATATGACCTATACGAGTATATTGAATATATTATTAGGTATTTAAACCTCAATCAAATTGTAAAGTATTATTGAAATAGCCTACTTTCGGCTTTATTATCCATACACAGGACAGAAATACTATCTATTAATACCATCAACGCGGCCAAAATATTGTCTGATTCAGACCGAAACTAAAACCCGTGTTTGGCGTCACTCTTCCAGTCTTTATAAATTCTGTGTGTAACTTTTAATCCGCAATACTATACTATAATGTTCTAGTGTTGTGTATATTTCATATTATTGTAATTTTGAATCTGAGAATTTAAAAACGTGTTTGCAATTTGAAAATCTATATTAATTGATAGGTATACTATTATTGTGTTTACTGTACTTATATAAAAAGAACTATGAAGGGCAGAGAAGGAACAATAATGCTTAATCTAACATATTATGGTTGTGGTGGACTACTTTTATGTGTCGCAGAAAAATGATGATAATAGGCATAAATATCCATTAGACGACAAATATGCTTTAAGAAAGACAATATACAGTTATTTAACATAACATATAATATCCGCATAAAATCATAACTTCAAAAAGCTATAATTTTGAAAGTTAATCAGTCCGCTTAATTCTGACTTCACCATTGTTTTTAAATCGGTATTATACAAATATTCAAAAAAAAAAAAATTGAAAAATTTTATTTGTTCCTCATAATTTTTTACTCAAACGATTTTCGTTAAAATTTGATATTAAAATTTCCTTATAAAAAAATATACTATATTAATCTCAATTTTTTTTTTTTTGACTACAAAGTAAGAATCCTATTGAACAAATTAAATTTTTAAACAATTTTGCCACAGAGTACCTACCGAATAAATATTACGTACAAAACTCGAAAAATTAAAATGTCTATAAATAGCTCAAAATTGGCTTAATTTGTTGAAAATTTTACCACGTCGAGAAAATGAATATGTAAATTTACTGTTTCAATTTTAAGTCCATAGAGCGATACGAATATTTTAACCTGAATTTCAATAAAAATATTAAATTTTTCATAAAAAACTTTAAAATAGCTCAAATATTTTAAAAATTTCACCACGTCTAGAAAAACCAAATATAATTTTTCTGTCAAAAATTCATGTCTTTACGTTTATTTTTAACTGTATTATAACAAATAACAAAATTGAAAAATAATAAAAGCGTTTATTTTCATAAATGTCCCACTTTTCTTACGTTTTATCCTAGTTTTCTCAAATATTATAAAAACCGCTAAGAAAATCAAAAAAATCTCCCAATAGTACCATCTGGACAATATTCCCTTTTAGAAATTGTGCCACGCGTATATATCTGGGCAAAATTTCTGGTAGATTTTTTGTACACGGTATAAAAAAAAAAAAATGTCTTGGTAAAACCAATACATTATTCGCTACACACAGAGTCTAATATTTAAAAAACACAAAATATTTAATATAAATATTAATAAATTATTTCAAAATTAATAAAATAACTCTATAGATAGGTCGTGTGGTTAGATAAGTTAAAAAAACATTTTTGAAAACGGGTTCTCATACAACTAAAATTTATGCAGTGCATAGTTCCCGGTGGTAAGTCCGGAATTCAATTCAAAATTAATTATTTTTAATGATCAATGTACGTCATTAAATTTAATATTATGTCTATATTAAAAGAACGCTACATATGCGTTTTTGTTGTCTCCGTCTTACAAACCCACGATATTGCAAATTTTAGTTCTGCAGAAGCAACTTTGTGCCGTTATCTTAAATATTAGTAAAGTTAATATTTCGATCGTGATATACCTGATGAATTTTTAATTTGAAACCGGTCGCATAATACATTTATCATAATACTCCAAGCGACGCATTAATTAATTAATTAATTACATTTTTATATACCTTTTTTTTTATATATTTATTTACGAGTATTAACTGTGTTAATAGTTTTATTTTACTTTATTACTTTATTATTAATTTGTATATTGAGAGACCTGCGCATAGCATGTTTTTTTTTTTTATGGGTAAAGATCTCATGCCTCATAGAGTGATTCTATTTAAAACGCTTTTTTACTTTTGAAAAAAATAAAACTTCTTACAGAACGTATTGGACTTTGGTTATATACACAAAAGTCACAAAAAAATTAGTTAAATATATGTAAAATATTGGTCAAATTCAAAATCTAATTATTGATAAATATAATTTTTAAAAACAAACTCTAATTCTACCCAAGTATTGGCTAACACTTTATAACTCTTCCTCTTTCTAACAAAAAAAAAAAAAAAAAGATGTTCGAAATTAGTTTGAGTTTTTTCTGTAAGTCATTTTTTCTAAAAAAAAAATCAATTCACATGAATACCCCTTAAGACTATTTTTAATAATTGAAGTATCATTTTCAAATCATCTTACATAAAATGATGCCGCGCTACGAATTTGTTTTTTTTAAATTTTAGTTTCGATTTGACTGCACACGCAGTATTTTATTATTATTTTATATTTTACGTCTATTTTCAGGTGACAAAATGAAAAATCAAAGTGTATGCGAATGGTATAATGGTCGTTCAATTTTCCTCACCGGTGGTACCGGATACATGGGCAAAGTCCTCGTCGAGAAACTGCTGAGGGAATGCGAAGGCGTGCAATGCATTTACATACTGTGCCGACCAAAACGTGGTTTCAGCCCTCTGGCCAGGATTAACCAAATAAGAAAACTAACAGTTGAGTACAAATTAATACTGTAATGATTTAGTCGGAAGGACGGATCACTCGTAAATATTACGAGTACTTTGCTGCCAATAATATTATTGTCCACTTAATTTATTTTAATATAAATCGTTGATGGTCTCAGAGTAAGGTCTCCGGGTATTTATGTATTGGACCAGAAAATCTGAGATTCTGAGAGAGGTGAGGTATGACATTGACGGTTTTATCATAATGATTTCATTGTGAAGTACATTTGTTTGACGCATTCAGTATAATCCTAATCTATTGTTTTAGATTCTGAAAAAAGCTTATAGTTTTACAGAGATGTTTATTTTTATTTTTTTATCTGTTTACAAATTTTCAATCAAAGACTTGCTCGGATTTCTAAGTGTAGCACATTTTTTGAAAGAAAATCGGTGACAAGGGCTCAATTTTTCGATTTTCTCAAGTTTTCTCATAAAATTTGAAAACCAAAAAAACGGGGAAATTTACGAAATATATTACTAAAATATTAATATTTTTTTTCTGTGCACAACTTTTCAATCAGCAATTTTGATACAACTTTTATGATATAAATATGTTTCTAAAAGGAAATTTCACTAGAGAGGTACTTTAAAGAGGTAATTTTTCGATTTTCTCTGGAATTTTCCCAGTAAATGTGAAAAACCGAGATAAAACATGGGAAAACTAAGAAAAAACCGAAGGAAAATGGGGAAAATCGGTACAACATTAAACAAATATTATTAAAAAAATATATATAAAGCCTATTTAATTGTTTTAATATAAAATGACATGCATATTGTTGACAAAGCATCATTATCAAATGAACTCCGCTCAAAATCGTTTTTTTCGTAAGCAATGGTTTATCGTTACTTACAGATATAAATTAAATAACTTCATGTATCCTATCTTCCTAATTTCCCCCCTACAACACTTGTGCATCTAACAATCTGTATTGCCTATTTTTTTTATTTTTGTCTTATAATATGTATAAAGAATAATATTTATACATGTGATTACTTGTTATTTATAAGCATCAAAAATATCTATTATACCTAAATGTTAGAATTGATTTTTATGTGACACGTTATTAGTATAATCAAATTATTGTAAATTTGTTTAAAAGTAAAAAATAATAATTCTCACTATCAGCTAAACTATATTGGCGTGTAGTTATAACCATATAACTATATAATTACTGTACCTGCTATAGGTACTGCAATGATTATTATACAACTGATGTGAATTTTTTTAAATATTTTTTAGGTGTTCGATCGCCTGCGCACCGAATTTCCAGAAAGGTTGAAGAAAATCGTGGCCATGGAAGGAGATTTGGGCCAACCCAATCTGGGATTGAGTGCCGAGAACCGGGAAATTCTCATCAATGAGGTGTCTGTTGTGTTTAATGGAGCGGCGTCGTTGCGTTTGGAAGCTGGCATGAAGGACGCGATCAAGTACAACACGACCGGCACAAAGTATGTGCTTGACTTGGCAGTCGAAATGAAACATTTGGTGGTAATAAACGTTAAACACACGAATTTTATTGATACTAATAAGTTTATATGGGCGTGCCATATGCTTTAAAGTCCCTTTTTCATACAAATTCCTCCCAAGTTAACTAGAATAAAATGCACAATATTATTATATGTTTACATGACTGTAATACTACATCTGTACTAAAATAGGGGAGTTAAACTCATAAGTAAATACATACAATAAAATAATAAATATACAATACTTAGAATGATAATAATAATTGGCATGTATTGTATTTTGTAAAAAAAAAAAAGTTGAAATAGGTAACGAAAATGTAATCTAAATGTGCAACATGAAAGGATTTAAAAAAAAGAATGTTGCGTTTAAGTGGATTAATCAATAATAATAATTCATCGTCAATACGTATTAACAATCGAGTTATTAATTTTTAAAATAATCTGCAAATACGCACATAAAAGTATATAAAGGTATTATTTATTTATTGTTATTGATTATTATAGTTACATGGATGAAATAAAAACAAATTTAAAGGTTGGTAACACGGATGAAAAAAAAAACTGAGTAAAATACAAAATAATATTAAAAATATTTAACGTTACAAAACGGTTCACGAGCGAAGCCGGGTAATACAGCTAGTATTAAATAATATTGTGTACATTTATATTTTTTTTCTCTATATATGAGACTATCAGTTACACATCATTTTATACTAAAAATAATTTTCCCCGTAGCATGTATTTGCCTAAATCGCTGAAAGCTCAGCGCCGGACCAACAGTGCGGAAAAGTCCCATTCCCTCTTTATTGTAGTGTAAGGTATTAATACACTTCCATCAACCCAATTATTGCATTTCACATTTTCGTAATTTATATGGTTGCAGTTTTAGTACAATCATTCGAGTTTCAACATCTTAACACATAATCGTTTTAACAAATAACACATTTCTTAATAAATAATATACAGGCTATTCCACGAAGATATACCCCTTGAATATCTCCGGAGATAATAGAAATAATCAAATTGTGATTTTTTACATTACTCACATGGATAAGAACTATAAATATTTATTTTTAAATTAATTTTTATTTTATAAAACAATTAAATTTTTATTTTATTATTTACGGAAAATTTTAAGATAGCCATTCTGTAGAGTTGATTATAGTTACAGCCGTTTTAAATTCTACTAATCTGTGTGAAAATCGATGTTATCTAGAGAATAACATAACCGCGATACGCGATAACATCGGTTTTATACACGAATTAGTAGAATTTAAAACGGCTGTTGCATATAAACTATTCATTGGATATAAATGTGTAAATTACGTATCAAAATACGTAAAAATGTTCAGAAAATGGCTATCTTAAAATTTTCTGAAGATAATAAAATAAAAAGTTAATTTTTAAAATTTTTAAATTAATTCAAAAATAAATATTTTTAGTCTTCAACCCTGTGAAAAATATAAAAAAAAATTCAGAATTTAATTACCTTTATTATCTCCGGAGATATACAAGGTGCATATCTTCGTGAGACAGCCTGTATATAATATGTAAAAGTTAAATATGTGAAATGAAATTAACTAACAAAATACATTTTATTTCCCAACTTCGCATTCGGTTATGAGACTCACTTTGTGCTGGACTCAAAGCGAGTCTTATAACCAACTCCCACTGTATTATTATATACAGCTGGTCATACAAATTTATCCAAAGTTTTGTTACAGTTAATTAGGAAGACTGCATATCAATTAAATGTGTTATTTGTTTTATAGTCGTTCGTTCACTTGTCCACGGCTTTTTGTCACTGCGAATATGAAACGCTTGACGAAACGACTTATCCCTCACCGGCCTCGCCACAAGACGTCATGCGAACCGTTGAATGGATGGACGACTATACATTGGAAATGATTACACCTAGGTAATGTATTAATGATTATTTTACTCCAGTATGTACATATTAGGAGGGAAAAAATTATTCAATATTATCGTTTGATTAATCACCGATAATAGTATAAATACATCATTGATGTGCTAAAGTGATTTGTGATGGATGGACTTTTTAAACTGTTCGCTTGTTAAACCTAAGGGGGTAAATAAGGATATGTAGTGAATAGTATACCAAACCCGGCAGTTAAAAACATGGAATTAAAAACCGGATTAAAAAAGCCAATTGATAATCAATAATTTAGTTTTAATGAATTTAATTTTAGATTTTTCTTGTAACTTAGCTGAAATACATACATTATATTGAGATTACATTACTAAACAGTAAACAACACCTAACTGTGGTATTTTTAAGCCAATACCCGGGAGGAGGGTCAATGATAGGGGGATTTGCCTTTTTGGTTATAATTCCCTCAGCATGTTATTTATATCTCCTAGGGGAGAGAACAGTAAATATATTCGTCCATAATTAAAATTGATTGACGTTTTATTGATTTCAGACTGCTGGGACCTCATCCAAATTGTTATACATATTCGAAACGTTTGGCGGAATCGTTAGTAACGGAATACGCTGAACGGATACCGGTATCCATAGCTCGTCCGTCGATCGGTAAGTTTTATTGAGAAATTTAAAAATTCTGGGACAAAACTATTTTTTTTTTTTGTATTCTGTGTTTTCAGTGACTCCTGCGTTCCAGGAACCTGTTCCTGGGTGGGTTGACAGCCTGAATGGTCCCGTAGGAGTGATCGTGGCCGGTTCCAAAGGAATAATACGGTCCATGCTGTGCTGTGCAGATTTCGAGGCGGAAGTCGTGCCCGTGGACATAGCCATAAACGCTTTGATATTGATAGCCTGGAAAAGAAATGCCATGGAGTAATAACAAATAATTAATAATAATAATATTTTTATATTAGCGATATAAGAGGGGGAGAGAAGAGCGATAGTTGATTGCATGATAATAATTGTCTAATTTCAAAATTACAGATACTTTTTCAAAAAATTTATTTATTATATTTTTTAAACACTTATTTACAAAGTCGTTTTTTGCGATAAAAAAAAAAAAAATAAAATAGAGTTTAATGTACCTAAGAATTTTAAAAAAAATTTTAATATCAAATCTTGAACAAAATCGTAAATATTAGGGTCTTTCAAAACATGTATAACCGAATTTCGTTCTGAATTGGGTTTCACTAGCATTAGTTTATCGTTACTCACAGATAGAAATGAAATAATTTAATGTATCCTATCTTCTCAACGTTTCATTCACAAGAGTAGAATTTACATAGTTGTATGTTTTTGAAACTATAAGTATATTGTTTCGATATAATATGATGACTGCTGTCAATATTCAAAAATATACATTAAGTAAAAAATTATAAAATAATTTCGCCAATAGTATATAGTCCCCCTTATACTATGATCGTAATCTGGTCCTACATCAGTATACGGAATGTTTGTTAATTTATTTATTATTGTATTTTAAATGCTTATTATCTAGTGATTTGCCCACCGATTTGGCACCGTGTTACAACATAACAAAGGGAGATATCGTAAAAATGACGTGGGGCGAGGTGTTGAACAAAGGAAAACAATTGGGATACGAGTATCCGTTCGAAGCCGGTCTTTGGTATCCCAATGGATCGATCAGGACCAATAAACTGGTACATTATTTCATAGTTTTTTGGTTGCAGATCATACCAGCCTATCTGATCGACGGAATTATGATTATGGCAAGGCAAAAAACTTTGTGAGTCGTCCGTTATGTTATGCAAATTTAATTTGTATATTATGTATAATGTATAATTATGTATAATATTATACACAATCACCAGTATTAAAAAAAAAAAAAATTAAATAATTAATACTTGCATATTATACTCAGCATGGTCCGTGTACAAAAGAGGATAGCGGTCGGCATGGAAGTGTTGCAATATTTCACCATGCGTAAATGGAATTTCAAAAACAAAAACACCCAGGCTCTTTTGGACAATTTGAGTGAAGAGGAAAAAAATAAGTTTTTCATTCAGAACATTAACGTTGATCTCGAAAAGTATTTCATACATACGCTTCTGGGCGCTCGTCAATATTGTATGAAAGAACCCCTGACCAGTCTGGACCGGGCGAGATACCATCTTAAACTGTAAGACGATAAAATGTTATTGGTAAAATTCACAAAATTTTATGAACAGTATTTATTAATGAAATTTTCTTTGGTTTTAAAAAAATAGGCACAGTTTAAAACAAATAAAGAAACAAATTAAATAATATATTAAAATCGCTAAACGTTATTTCCATTAGGATTTAATGGGACAGCTACTATTTCACATATCTGCATTTGGTAAAAAGATCAGATTGTGAATATTATTGAACTATACGGGATAATCAACATAATGTGAAACACTCATTATTTTGGAAAGTACTAAATTTTTTTTGAAATTATTTTTTTAGAAAATTTAAGAATAAAATATAAAATTTAAGTTATTTTTGAAAGTGAAACCAACTTTTGATTTTTAAATATAAAATATTAAAATACATTTTGGTGTTGGAATTTCTAATTTCCTTCGACTCGTTGATGAGATATTCCACTTTTAATTGTGTCTTTTACAAGTAGAGGGAGAGTAGTGACTATTGGAGAATCATTTGTGTGGAAGAACCGTATGCTCAAAACGATCCACATAATTTTCTAAAAAATAAATTCTGAAAAAAGTTAATTCTTTCTGAAATAATGAATATCTTACATTATGTGATAATCACCCTGTAAATGCTATAATATTATAATCCGGTATAATTTATAGATTTTAATTTAGTAAGCGCACCTACAAACTTTTATACTTAAATAATTGTTATCTAATTAATTATTATCGTTATTTATTAACACGACCAGTATCAATGTTTGTTTTTTTTTCTAAGCCCTTTCACAATATTCTGTTATACCTGTTGGCGTATGTATTCGTAAATGAAACGCAGTTAATTGAAATAATGACAAATAATAATAATTTATTTTCAGATTGTACTGGTTAAATATGTTTACCCAATTGCTGTTTGGAATTTTACTTTTGTGGCTCTTCTCAAACATGTTCGGTACGTTCAAGAGTGCGTTGGATTCGATTACAAGTTCGTTTTCGACGCTACCATACGTCGAATCGTTGATTCCATAGTTAAGGGGATATACTGCAATTACATAGGTATTAAAAGACCTTAAGAAGAATTTATATTATTGTTATTTTTTGTATACGTAATAAATGTACGTATCGAAATTAAATTTATTATTTTTTGGAAGGGCATATGGTACAATTTTTCAAATGAAGTTTTTTAATTAAATTTTTTTTTCATTAGTTATTATTACTATTTTATCATGTGAAATATGAATAATATTGTAAAATATAATACGGTTGGTAATATGGTATCTTTATTATATTATACTATATAAACTTTAAAAATTTAATAATTTCAAATTAGTTAAAACTAATAATATTGGTTTGGTGTTATTATTGTTATTATTTTTTGTAATAGAGTTTTTTTTTAATTGTACCTATATTTAAATATTATATTAATATGAACATTCGCAACACATAATATTATTGATTTTTTTCTTATGTACCTATATACTATACACTGTAATATGTTTTAATAAAATTGTATGCAATAAATTAATACAATTACTATTTATTATATTGTTTTGTCTGTTAACTCTTGTCGCAATTGGTCACTGTCATGCCATGAAATTTTAGTGCTATATAATAAAAAAATCAACAATAAAATATAGTAGGATAGATTTTAATTCCGTTGTTAATAACATTATATAATATGTTATAGCTGTCTAAAATTTAATATTAAGAATAAAATACATATTTTAAACGGTTTAAATTATAAAGAACCTAATACTGCTGATGGGTTTGACGGTAATTATTATTTTAAATAAAAAATGTAAATTTGAATGGCTTAAAGAAATTGAGAATAAGGGTTTTTGATATTTATATATCTAGTGCCACAATACCACCTTATAATGAGCCATTTGTCAAATATTCGTTCATTTATGAAAATCCAACCAAATTTTATTCACATAAAATCAAATAAAACCAAAAAAAAGAAGACTGACATACTTCACAAGTGGGTGGGTCACTGTAGTAGGTGAGAAGTTTGGTTGGTAGAAGGGAAATTTATGTATATCTATACGCAACGATTAATCATTGCTAACGTAAAGCTTTGTTAACAATATCTTTGTCACATTATTGTAAAATGTGCAATATATATTTTCTTTAATAATAATTGTATAATATTGTATCTATTTTTCCGTTTTTCTCGGTTTTTCCCGTTTTTTCCCATTGACTGAGAAAACTCCTGGAAAAGTTAAAAAATGACATCTCTAAAGCAACAAATTTCCTTTCAGAAATGGTTCTTTTACTTGATACTTCGGAGCAAGACTTTTGGAAGAATTTTTGTACACAGTATATATAAGAAAAAACATAAATATCTTTGTAAAATCAATACATTCTTGGTACACTTAGAAAATAAAACACTCGAAAATAACAAATGGCTATGAATAGATAAAAACAAATCGCCAGAATATTTTGAAAATTTTACCACATTTAGAATGATCAAGTTTGAATATTCTGTTATAATTTCAGTTCTCGACGAGTATTATTTTTCTTTGAAATATAACCAGAAAACAAAATAGAAAATAACAGAATCCGTTATTGCGTAAATACTGCCGGGTTTTTTGTAGATTTGCTCAATTATTAAGAAATATCGAAAATGATTTTCTAAATGTATCAAATAGACAAAATTTTCAATCAGAAATTAATCCTGAAGTTGGAAATCGGATCAAGAATTTTAGTAGAAATGTTGTTCACGCACATCTTAATAAGATATACATTCTCCGCTAATCTAAAATTGTCTAGTAATATAACGTTTTCTACAAGTATTGATTATCATTATTCCTTTTAGGATTAAAATTATTATTGTACATTGTTTTAAAAAAAAAAAAAAAAAAATATTGCGCGTGGGACACGAAAGATTTCACGGTTCCACGGTATATTAAAATAAATTGATGTAAGACGACGGAAAAACCGGAATACCAAATGCGGGCTATAGGTACCGAACATAATTTTTATTTCGGAATTCTCCTTCGCTTTAATAACCTACATCCCCAGTCGATGTAAATACTTTTACTCGATTACTCGTGTTGAATAAACATACTCTTTACGATGTGGTGGTCATGTCAAAAAATAATTTTCATTTTCATCTTTATTTTCCAGCTCTGTATTTTTAATGGGCAACGTAGACAAATTTGTTCACGTAAACCAAACATAACGATTTTTGAAACGGTTTTAGATGTTAAAAACTTATTTGAAAATGTATAGACAACTTCATCACACGGTGTTTTGCAATAGGTATATTCAATTCATTATTGTAAGGGTACAACATATCGTGAGTTTTACATTTACCTCTAAGGGCAAGCACGTATTCAGGATCAATTTTCGGGGGGGGGGGGGGGTTAAAATATGTTTAATGAAATAAATGATTATATTATAAACTTTATNTATTAAATCAGCCTTGCGTGGCATTTTGGAAAAAGTATTGATTATTTCTTCAATATTTATTGAGATACTCCGGTGGACTGACAATAAAGCTAAACCTGTTAGACGATCATCGCTGCAGCTATTCCTCAAATAGTTTTTTAATCGTCTTAAAGTCGAAAAAGTACGTTCTGCTGACGAAGTCGACACTGGGAGTGTTGCAAGTATGGATAGTAAACACCAAATGTTTGGATAAAGGTCCCTCGACATAGCGCTTAGAGTATCGATTGCAGATTTTGGAAGTTCTTTATCGGGTACTAATTTCCATTTTTCCATCCACACCTTCAATTCTGACTCAAAAGTGTTATAAGTCGGTAAAAAGCTTTTGTAAAAATCAATGCAATTTTTTAACTCATTGCTACTTGCATTTAATTTAATAAGATAACATGGAAAATTTCGGGGGTGTTTGAACCCCTAACCCCCCCCCCCCCCCCCTGGATACGGGCTTGTCTAAGGGAGGCTGTACTTTAAATCACGTATGAAATGTCTACTATTATAAAGCTCGGAAAGTATTACAAAAAAAATTAAAATGAAAAATAATGTATCAGGTTTTTTTATTTTCCGATTAAGAATTTCGAGATTATTTGTTTTCTATTTCGTCGGCTGTTCAACTACTGACCCGCAATTTCGGCGCAGGCACGTATTTAGAGGGAGGGGGAACAAGTGTATTTTGTTGCCCGGGGCAACAAACTTTTTAGTCCATTTAGGAGGCAGTAAATTCATGTTGATAAATTATTATTGTGCATTCATTTTATAGAAAAAAATATTGCTTACATAATTTTAACCTTCTATTAAAAACAATTATTACAGCTCAAAAATGTATATTGTTTTCATAAATTTGTTGGATAATAATATTGACAAAATTATATTATTGACATACTATTTATAAATAATAACTTTATTCTCAAACCTTCATTCAAGGTAAAGTCATAAATTTATTTAGATATATACAGTGATGTATTGCTAAAATATACCAAGGGTATTTGCCTTATTTACGTATATAGAGATTAATGGTCTAAAAGTAGGGTCCGAAAATTTTTTTTCGCTTCGCTCATATAGTGGCTCTTTTAAATTCTGAGTGAAACGAAGAAGCCTATGGTTTTATAAAGTTATTTATTTATTTTATTTATCTAAGGAAAACTTTTCTACCAGAAATCTTGCTCCGATTTACAATGATGGCATTTTTTCTTTGAAAGGAAATCGGACTGGGGAGGGACTTTAGGGAAGTCATTTTTCGATTTTTTCAGGAGATTTCTCATCAAATGCGAGTAACCGAAAAAACAGAGGAAAAAACAAGAAAATGTATGAAATATATTAGTGAAATATTAAGTATAATATTATCATCATTCATCACTCAACGAGTTATCACAATACGAATACAATATTTTAATAAATATTATAATAAATTATGGTGGGATTCGGTCAACCGAAGTCCTCCCCACAACATATTTACTTTATGGATAATTTGATTATGAGTGTTCGATAACAATACTGATAACAAAACTTTAATTTTTAAATGATAATAATTTTTCGTAAAAATAAAATAAATTTTCGTGTTACGTGTTACGTCCTGTATTACAATTCGTGGTCATTAAAATGTATTTTACAATAATTTATATAAATATATAATATGTATTTATAATTACCATATAGGATATACGGTAGATAGGTACGGCCGTATACCCGTGTACCATGAATTTGTCATAAGCTTTACGTCATGGATAAAAATAGCATATTAGGTATACGCCGTATACACTCCCTAATACACCATTGGATATATAGATTTGAATCATTAATAAAAAAATGAAATACTTAATAATAAATTACACATTACATTTAATTGTTTTTTTTGATTTAACATTGGTTTTTCTAGAGATTTAGGAAATTACTATAATGTATGAATTATTAATATTTATAGCCTATAGCAAGTTATTATATATTTTGTACAATTTGAATAATCATAATTATTATTCATAATAAATTTAACAATAATAAAACATACATGAATGTATATAGTGTATATTGTATATATTTTTAATTTGTCAATATTAAATTAGCGAAAGTAGCATAGAGTAGGTTGTTGGCTCAATTTTTTGCGGATCAAAATTGTATATAACAAGTTATTAGTACCTTACATTTTAAGAAATAGCTTTTTTCGGGGGGGGGTTAGGGGCGGGGAAAATATGTTGCCCCGGGGCACAAAATTTTCAAATACAGCTGTGTCAGCGTACTCGTTCTTCGCTTTTATAGGTTTTATAATTCTATGACGAAAACTAAACAATTTTTTTTTGTTATTTTCTTAATTTTGTTTCCCCAACAGCAGTTTTTCTTATGAAATCAGTGGTGTAGAAAAAAGCTGACGTTTATAATATTTTACTTTATAGGGTTGAATAATAATATTTTATTAATATGTTATACTGTGACACATCTGCAGTATACTTTTATCGGGGCCGTACTAGATACAGACATGGTACCCGAAATCCCCAAGGGAATTCTCGAGTGTGTGTTTTTAAAATTTAAATTTATTTCTATATTATTTAAATTTAATTGATAACTCTTCGAAAATATTGTGAGTTACAGCCATTTGTGGTATGTGACGTATAATAATAATAATAATATGTCTGTCTTTACAATGTCACATTATTGTCGAGTGTCGACGACGAGCAGAGCAGAGTTCATCTTCAACGGAAGCTAACTATAATACAATTATAGACACACGACAACGGCACGGTTATTATGGTATTTATGGACGTGAGTATTATAATATATCCTTTAATGAAATATTATGCATTCTGCGTACAATTTTGGTTGTTGGTTTTTAATAATATATAAAATTCTATAATAGAGTCGTTCCCAAAACCCATGTATAGGCGCTCTCGTATATAGATTCGACTTTTTAGTAAAAATCTTGACTGACGTAAAAATATATCAGTTAAACTTTTGAGAACATGGTTCTCGCGACGAATATAAATCCGTGGGTGCACATGAAAAAGTGGTTAACTCAACATTTTGTGAAAAATGTTTCTTTGTCCTTCATGTTGTTTCAAACTTTAATTTCCATTTCCTGAAAAGTTCATAGTGGTTGACTTAACTCCTTTTCACGCGCACCAAAAAATCGTTCTTTGTAGTTAATATTTTTTTCCCCGTCGATCGTCTAATGTTTACAAATTCCTTCTGAAGTAGATATTTTATCATCGAATTGTTTGTCTCTTTTATCCCGTATTTTTAAACAACTTCATACGATTTTGATTTGTTAAAACTTTTTTTTTCTTCTCCTTTGCCCTCATTCAAGTTATTTGGGTTCGGTCACTCTCATCCTAAACTTCCACTTGCTCTGATCACTCACTGATTATCTTACACCGGTTGTTCTCTTGAGTGTCCTTATGTCATTCTCAATCGCATTCAACTAATTTTTTCTCGGTCTTACTCTTCCTTTATTTTCGTGAAATTTCTAAACCATCTTGGTCTATTTTCTTTCATTTTACTACTATAGAAGTAACGTGTATGATACTCCATATGTTTTTTGTTCGTTATCCTATTTCCTTTTGTCACTCCAGTCATTCACCTAGCTTTTCTCATATCTGATGCACTTATTTCCTGTTCTATTTTTCTGTCTATCGTCCAACACTCCAAACCATACAACATAGTCAATCTTACCACAGTATCGTACAGAAACAATTTTTGGGGAGGAGGCACTTTATTATCCAGTTTTTGTTAAGCTTGAATAATTATCACCCATTATTTTAAGACTCCCTTATTCCTTTATCAATTATTATTTATACTCCTTCCCCTAGCATTACAATGTAAAGTTAAACAGAGTTTGTAGCCTTGTAAGAGAATATATGAACCACTAATTGCAGAAAGAGGATGTATGCCCCTAAAACTTAATTTTATAGAAGACACGAAAAACTGTCTGGGCAAGATTGAGAAGTCGTTAGGCGTACAAATGAATAAATAGCATTATTATCGACATTTTAAAAAATTAATCATCTCGATATTTTCCAAAATTTAACACAAACATTGGGAGCCATTTTAAATTGTTGGACATGTCTACATTCTTCATTTTCCCATGTTAAATGCATTTAAAAAACAGAGACGGCAATAAAACCATTTTTTTTTGCAGTGAAAAATCTTTTGTATTCTAAGCCTTTCGGAAATACAATTATTTAGTTATTTATTTATTATTAAAGTTTATTATTTAAGTTTATAGTGAGTTGAACACTCGTGAATTTTTTCTCGAAATCTGGAAACAGAATACTTTGGAATGTAGAGCTTTACGAGTTTCAAATTATTCATTTTTGAATTAATTGAGACAATCTTCTGGGTTTATAGCTGTTTCTCGAACAACTTGATTGGCGAAATAATTTTTTTTTTTTTCATATATCACGAATATTTTAAAATAAAATCATATTTTTTACAACTCAAACTCAGAAATACATCAACTAAAAATAATATTTATAAATAATGGATGAAAAATTGTTGGTTGTTAGTGATAAGATGTAGACAAAAACCACGTTCATAGTAATTTATTAAGATATTTAACTCAGACATGGAACATTGTCCCCTTTTTGTAAATTTGTCTGTTGATATTTTTATAACGGTTTGATAGACTAGTTCTAATTTTACATGAAATATGTACTTACTTAAAGAAAATAAATATAAATCCGGTAATAACACAATTTCGTTAGAAATTCTCCTTTCTGAAATTAGTGATTCATTTACTATACATAATATACATAATATATAATAATTATAGTTTATTTAAAATAGTACTACTAATAATGAATTTCGGGGGAAGGAGTGCTCCCATTGCTCTCCTCTTCCCCCTGACTACGGACATCTATATTAATGGGAGTGAAACAATTATCTACTTTTGATTTTCAAATGTTAACTTATGTTGAAATTTCCATAAATAGATAGATAGACGGAGTATTAGTTGTAAATTCATTTTGGTATTAAAATTGCCGATTTCTCTTTACCCGTTGACGAGATATTCCACTTTTAAGTTTGGGTAGCGGGAGAGTAGTTGAGTATTATTCAAATGCCGTGTGCCATGCAACCACTCAAAAAAATTCAACACAAAAATGCATTTAAACTAATACTCTATATATTTATAGAGTTTTCAAAATAGGTTAATATTTTAAAACAAAATGTAGGTAGCCATTTCACTCCTAAAAATAAGAAAAATTTAACATTTTAGAATAAATAACTCCAAAGAATTATTTTAAATAAGTTATTTTATGAAAAATTAAGTATTTCATGTCAAATTTTAATATATTATGATACTTGAATGACACAGTAAATTGAAAACAACCCAATCGCCGCCTTTTTCGAAACACGAATTATTTAAAAATTATATATAAAATTATTTAAAAAAAAAAAAAAGAAATAATAAAAATAATGTAAAATATACGATATTTGTGTACCTTCGATAGAGACGTATTGAATATTTAGAGAATTGTAAAACGCCGATGAGGTCATCATCAAAATTACGTCATCTATAAATCATTTAATAATAAATGTTTCATTGCTAAAACTGATTTCAATGACCTTTTCACGTGCAATATTATGTTTTATTTTTGCCAACATTATTGCGCCAGTATAATAGTAGTCGTATAGACTATAATACTATAGACTATAGAACAATTAGAGTTGAAAATGACGACACGTTGAGTTAAAACAAATATTAAATCGTTATGAATATAAAATTTATGTTTTCATAATATTATGTAAACCTATGGAAAGTCTAGTATTAATTATTTTGCGTTACCTTTTGCGTTATACTGATATAATTATACTGTGTTGCATAGATACGAGTAGGTATAATTTGATATTATATTCAGGTTACAGTAACTTTTTATTTCGTACCACACCGTTGACAAGTTTTGTTGTTGTCACACGAACAAATTCTAAATATAATATACAGGGACTGATTTAATGTAGGCAAGTAAATGGCAATTACTTTTTCGTTATATTAATTGGATGTTCAGTTACCTGTTTAAATAGTAATAAGACGATCGGTTTCTTTTTCCTTGTTTTTACACCCAAAATCCGATAAAAAATTCAAAACAAATAATTTTATCAATGCATAGGTGTTTTTAAGTAGGTATACCTAAATATTTTTTTCTCCTTCTTCTAAATTTTTTCTAAAAATAAAGACTATTTCAGTATTTATGTTATATTTTATTTCAGCTACTTCTGAACACTTCTAGTGATGGCTTCTCCTAGATCGAATTAACTCATATTAAGGAATTAGAGTTTTTTATAGGTGGATTGAAGTGATAATGTTGGGTTAAATTTTGATTTTGTTTTTAGGATTTGTACATATTTACCGTCTTCTTCTCCCGAATTAAGCTAAGGAAATGGAATCTTATGTATACATAGAATTAAAATCAGCGATGTGTCTTTCGGAATTTTCGACATTCAACCATGCTCTTACTAATTTTATGTTCGAATTTCATAATTTATTTTTCTTTATAGGAAGGATAGTATAATTGTGTTATAAAAAGTACTGTGTTATTCCGTATATAAACTATTTGATTATTTATTGTTTTAAAAATGATATTTTTTTATAAAACAAAATTGATTAAATTTAAAAATTCGGTTTAGAATATCTCAACGAAAGGATATTTTGGCAAATGCTAATTTTTAAAAAAAAAACTGACATACTTCACATGATGGGATCTACCCATCATGTTCTAAGTGAGAAATTAGGAAAGTAGAGGGGGAATTGTATGTATATCTGTACGCAATGATTAATTATTATTTATAACGAACAACGATTTCCGAGCGGAATTCGGTTATACATGTTTTGAAAGGCCATAATATTTACAATTTAAAAATAACACACTACATACATTTTCTTGTTTTTTTCTGGTATTTCCTATTTAATATGAAAACTCCTAGGAAAATTAAAAAATAAACTTCCTAAAGAACCACTTTTTTTCAAAAAATGTGCTACATTTGAAAATCGAAGCAAAATTTCTAGTTAAAAATAAAAAATAATGATGCAAACCATTGTAAACCAATATATTTCTCGCTTCGCTATGAATCTAAAAAATAATCAAATATTATTCGTATAATTTATATTTTATTAGGTACCTATAAGAATATAACCGAATAAGAAAATCTTTCAATCATATTGTCCTCATAATTTTTGATACAAAACCTACACATCTTTCTGTTCGCCGATACATCTTTTCAAGCGGTAAAATGTCACGGAAATGTTATAAATGTATAATAAATGGATACCGTGAAACTTCAATTCTAGTAATGGAATTGTGCTGCTCACGGGTCTTTTTTTTTTCTTCAAAAAGTCTTCATTGATTAATACAACCTCTTTTTTTGTTATTATTTTTTTCAAAAAGTTTTCAATTATATATTACCGGTAACAAATGGGTAGGTATTTAGGCTTGTTGTATTCTAATATTTCAACAGCCGTCTACGATTTCAGGAATAAAAACTAACGTAAAATAATGAATATCTAATTTATTGTGAGTTAAACGGTGTTCGGCGTATACACAAATTTAATAAAAACTAAAATATATATTTACGTATAGGTATGTCATTACGTTATTTAATTTTTTTCCATCAGTTAGTTTTCGCTTTTCTATACTATTACACGCACTGTATAATAATTAAAACGGCTCAAATAATAAAAAAAAAATAATTACATAGGTTTTTTTATAAAAAAAAATAAACAGGTACCTCGGACCCTATGATTAGATTGCGAAACGCATTCTATTGGTCCTCTGGCTATATCTAAAAAATATTTTACTTAGTTCACGTGTCGTGATTCGTCGAATTGTAGCTCTCTCGGGAGTAAATAATTTTATTACAGTTTCAGTGGCCCGTGGCCGATCCCCACGAAAGGCCTTAATTTTACAAAAATAATATGTGATATTGTTGATGAGCGTACAATTGTTGTAGGTGCGAATTTGATAATATAGGATGCATGGATCTATTTAATTTATATTTCTACGCAACAATGAATCATTGCCAACGAAATATAAGCGAAGTTCGATTTTATACGTTGAACTTTTTTTAACGATTCTCGTTAAAATTTGAACTTAAAACGCTTATAAAAAAACTGCTAAGTATTCAGTTCATCTTATTTTTGACCACTTAGTTAAACATTAGTTTAACTTAGTTCAACTTAGTTAATACATGTATTTGGTGAAAAGTTCAGGTTTTTACGTTTATTATTCACTGAATGACAACAAAAAAAAAAAAAAAATCGAAAATAATGAAATCATGAATACTATAAGTATTTCCAATTATAATGAAAACTACATTGGAAATAAAAAATGTTTAAAACACTAGATATTAGATCACAATTAAAAATTGTATACAAATTTATAAAATGTATACATTTGATGGGTTATATTTTATCCAAAAAATCTTGCCTCAAAAGAAAAAAAACAACAAAAAAATATTTCTGTTTAATTTTAGATTCTGTATAGTGTGAGCCTTATTTTCCTGTGAACGACTTTTCTACCAGCAATTTTTGTATAGATTTACAATGATAGCACTTTTTCCGAAAGGAAATCTAACTGGAGGGGTACTTTAGGGGGGTCATTTTTGGATTTTTCCAATAAACGGGAAAGAGCCGGGAAAGAACGTAGACAAAAAACATAATAAGACAGAATAAGAAAATTATAGAGGCATAGCGCTCCAAAACTCAGCATACAAACTATTCTCTAAAGTGTTGCTGAATCGTATAAATACATATATAGAAGAATACCTTGGTGAATATCAATGTGGTTTTAGAAAGAGAACGTCAATTACCGAACAAATTACAGTGATAAGTTAGATCATAGAAACATGAATTCCAACAAAATTTCTGATAAATATTTATAAACTTAAAAAAAGCCTATGGTAGTATTTATCGAGAGAGCCTATACAGCATATTGACTGAATTTGGAGTACCAAAGAAACTAATACGACTGATCAGGATGTGTGTAGAAAAGACACAATATCAAATCAGCTATCCTGATTTAATAGATCAGAATACCTCTGAAACCTTTAACGTACAAACAGAGTTAAAGCAAGAAGATGTGTTATCCCCAGTATTATTTAATTCTTTAATATGACTCTAGAGAAGTCAGAGAGGTGCAAAAAGAAACAACTCGAATAGAAATAAACCACCGAAGTATTCAAATTTTGGGGTTTCGCAGATGACCTTAACATCATAGGCAATACAAGGGATGATTCAGAGAAAACAGCTAAAGCTCTGGAAAAATCCGCAAACAAAATAGGATTCAAAATTAATGTAGAAAAGACAAAGATCATGGAGCTATTAGATGCGGAAACAGACATTAGAGACTGGACCTACGAGAAAATCAACAAGTGTCAATACCTTAAGAGGATTGAAAAATCAATAGTCATTTATTACATTATCAAAGTTTTTAAAATCAATAATATTATCAAAGAAAACAAAAATTAGGCTTTACATGATGATAGTGAGACTTATTTTATCATATGGATGCAAAGCCTGGATGACTACGAGCGTAACAAAACAACGTGAGCGTAATTCACCACTTTTGAAAATATGATATGATATATTACCATAAGTGGACCGAATTTAGACACAAACACTAGCTGTGGAGGAGAAAATTCAACAAAAAGCTAAGAGAAGAAACAGGGTTGGTTCAAATTAAATGCTATATATGAAGTTGGAGAATCCAGTGGTTTGGCCACGTAATGCATGCAAATTATGAAAACATAATCAAAGCAGTTATGCTAATGCCCTCTTACCCCCTAAATACGTCCCTACCTAATCCTACTGCTCTAATCAACCCTTGTATTATTTTCAATTAATAACCATAGTTTTATCAATGAATACTGTGGTAGTAATAATATTTTATAGTTTTATTTATTTTGATCATACCAAACCACTACAGGTTATGCCTACTTACTCACTAATATCGATAGGTCGCGGACGATGGCTCTACAGATTACTCTCGATTTAATATTTCGTAATTTATTGTTTATAATTTTGTCGTGTAGTTTTTTGTTTACACACTACCATAATAATAAATGGTAAATTTTTTTTTTGTTTTCAAACAGCTATGCGTCATTGACGACCCCAGTAAAACTTTCTGGGACGACCCGAACATGTATGTAGACGACCCCGGGCTGGATACGCTGCTGTCGTTGACCACCGACGAGCTGTTGTCGTGCGGTAGTTGGACGGATACCGACGTTAGCGTAGTTCTCGACAACAAATCCGACACTCAACCACGACCGGCGGGACGTCGACGAAACCGACGAACGCCACGAGCTGACGATAATAAATCGCCGTTACCGTGCACGTATCCGAACTGCACCAAATCGTATTTAAAGCCGTCACATCTGAAGGTGAGTAATCAATCACGATAACCCCAGTTACAACTCAGCCCCCTAGTTTTGCAAAGCTGTTGAATAAATTAATAAATACAAATAAAAATATTTTCACACTTTTTCGTACACATTCTAAATATATCTCTTTTTATTCATTAATAAGTACTCTTTATTCTGTAGGTACTGAAAAAAAAAATGTTTTAAATTTTGATGATGTATACATATTCAATACATATTAAACCGTACATATGATACGGCCATAATTTAAAATATAATGATTAATGGACATATTATTTAGTTTTTACGAATATCTTCAATCGAAATATTTTAAATACACCTATAACTACATGGCTTAAATACTTTTGGACATTAAAATTATCGTGTTTGTCTGCGAGCCTGCAGATCCACACGATGATAGTTATCATCGTGATATATAATGACGTAAGTTTGAAATTGTTGCGATACTGACTAGTACAAAGACAATGTCCATAGGATAATATAATATAGTTGATTAATAGTAGAAGACATACTAGTAGAGTGAATTTCGATAAAATGTCTGTGAATGGCATGTATCGTTTTTTTTTCTTTTTATAAGATATCTAAGGACTATTAAGGTACATCGTGGCAACAAAAGCGTCTCTCCACTTCTTCTTGGTCCTTGATAATTTTTCCAAGATTTCCACCCCAATCAACCTGAAGTCTTTTTCCTTTGGGCAATTTTGTATTCGGTCTCCATCCTGTTATGTTCCCCAGTGGCCGGTACTCCTTCAGACCACAACTCTTTTAGACATTTTCAACAATTCATTAGGTTCACCCATTTTGATCATGTTCTACCCTTCCAAATAAAAAACTTCTATTTCTAATTTTCTTGCTATGTGATATTTTCTGGATGCTTTAGACGTTCTTCATTTTTTGCAATTATTACTAGATCATCAACACACGCTACAATTGAAAGTTGTTGGTTATTAATATTTTTTATTTCTAAGAAATTGCCTCACCGCTGACTCTAGGGCAAAATTAAACAAAGCCGGTGACAAAGCTTTCCCTTGTCTGAGACCTGTTAATATTGAGAATTAATTTGAGAAGACGGCTCCAAAACTCACCTTGCATTTAAAGCCTTGTACAGAAGCTTCGGTCATTCTAAAAAGATTTTCTGGTATTTCTACTTGGGACACTATGATACGGTGTTTCTTCTTATTTACCGAATCATATGCTGGTTTAAAATCCATAAACAGCATGTGTATGTCTTTATTGAGTTCATGGATTTTGTCTACTACTTGTTTTATTTTTTGAATCTGATTAATAGTCAATTTACCTACCATGAATTCTGCCTGGTATTTTCCAATAATAACTTTAATGAATGATTTTAATCTGTTTAATAAGAAGTTAGATAATAATTTGTACGAAGTGTGTAACAGAGAAATTCCTCTATAGTTATTTGGGCCCCTTTAATCTCTCTTTTTATATACCGTGGTCATAGAACAGATATGTTCCATGATTCTGGATTTTCTTGCTACTCCTATATATCAATTGCTAGTTTATGAATTTGTTGAATCATCTTATTTTCTCATTTTTTTAGACATTCAGGAATTAGTTCATCAATCCTAAAAGCCTTTCCATTATTCAGCATTTTTATTCCCATCTCCATTTCTTATATAGTTGGTTCGTCAAATAATTCTTTCATTGTTACATTGACTTCTACTGTGGCCCTATTTTCTGGTTGATTAAATATCTTCTCAAACATGCTTTGAATGTGCCGTCACGCAGTACAATATAACTCAGGGTATACACATTGGCAAAATATTAGCTTACGATCATGTCCCAGATAGAGCCCACACATTTAAAGCCAGCAACAGCCAACATTGAGTTTCTAAGGTTTAGGTTAACGTACACTGGCCATAAATAGAATAGAGTATTTCTGACATCCAGTTCGATTTTCGAAAAAATATAATCACCCAGTATGCAATAGGAGCACTAAGGTGTATGTCAGAGAGAATGATAGAACAGAAAAGAGCTGTATATATTTGTTTCATAGATTATGAAAAAGTATTTGATAGAGTTATTTGAAAAAGACTATTTCCGATGTTAAGATTAAGACGAATTCTGATGAAATTTATAAAGCCTATACACAAACCAAAAGACCGCAATTTCGTTGAAAGAAATATCAGAGGAAATACAAATTAGAAAAGAAGTTCGGCAAGGTTGCATTTTCTCACTTAACTTGTTTAATGCATATTTTGAAAACATGACGGATGAAGCTATCGGAGGATAATTTAATACACACCTATAAGCAACAATAAACCATTGCTTACGAAAAAACAATTCTAACCGAAGTTCAGTTGATAGTGATGCTTTGCCAACAATATGTATGCCAATTAAGTAGGCTCTATATATTTTCTATAATAATATTTGTTTAATGTTGTACCAATTTCCCCTGTTTTCTTATGTTTTTCCCGGTTTTCCTATGTTTTTTCCCAGTGTTTCGCATTTGATGAGAAAACTTCGGAGAATATCGATTAACAACCCATTTAAGGTACATCCCCAAAACGATTTCCTTTCTGAAAAATTCTACTTCAAAATATATGTATGAAATGTCTATTTCGGATTTTAAAAAATAATTGTTTAAACAATTATTTTGTTTACATTTAAATTATATATATAAAAAAAAAAAAAATTAAAACGTAGAGGAATTATTGAGCACGGCTCTAAAAATGATTACAGGACAAAAAAACTTGGGAATTTGTCGACCACGGTATGTTATTAACATGAATATTTCGATCGTGGGACGTTTTGGGTGCGCAACAAAAATCATCACTATGTGTATTGAAATATTAATCGTTTTGGACTGCTGCAGGTTCACATGCGGCGGCATTCGGGCGAGAAACCCTACGGCTGCATGTGGCCGGGATGCAAGTGGCGTTTCTCCAGGTCGGACGAGCTGTCCCGGCATTGTCGGTCACATTCGGGCATCAAGCCGTATGGTTGCAACCTGTGCGAGAAACGGTTCTCGCGGTCTGACCACCGAGCCAAACACGCCCGGGTGCATTACAAGCGGATGGCCGCCGCGGCGGCGATGGCCTCGAGACTCCAATGGGCACAACAACAGCAACAGCCACCTCCGCCGCCGCCGCCACCACCATACCGTTACAGACCGCAGTGTCACCACCATCATGACCCGCAAAACCAGAATTTCGGGAATCACTAACATAATATTTTATATTATGCACATTTCGTTTATTAAAATAAGATTTACGAAATATTTGTTAACGTTGCGTATGCAGAGGCATAGTTAAAGGAATTTGTGTTCTGACGGGGGAGGAGTGGTATTATATATTGTATAATTGACAATCGCATTAGCAAACCACTTTCCCTCTTTTGTCACCCGAATTTTCCGCCGGAAAGTCCAAAAAAAAACTTCGGGCAATTTGCAAAAAGTACCGATTCTTTTTTTTTTTATTTTTAGTTCAGAATTTATTATTTATTATTAACCAATTTTATTTATTTATTATTGTAGAATATTTTTTTTTTTTTTTTCAATTATTTATTGGAAAATCCCCGAATTTTAAAAAATAAAGAATGATCATTTCACCGTCTTTTAATTTTTGATTTTAATTTCATTTGATTATTAATCACAAATTCTTATAAGTTTACACGTAATGTGAAAGATAAAATGTAAATTTGGCTCTTACAAAGTATAATATAATACAGAAGTTTTTAATATAATATTATAGTAGACGTAGTGAGACGATAAACGAAAACATTTCCTGAGTGGTTATTATGATAATAATAGAAAAATTGAACAAATGAGACAAATAATATTATTCAGTAATAAATTTAATAATAATAATAATTAATCATCATCATCATCATCACAATCACAATACTAATATAAATTGATCGCTAAAAATAAAGTAGGTATAGTAATATTGTAGAACGGAAAGAAGGAAAAATATATATATATAAGTGAAAAATAAAATAAACAATAAATTATGCATATATACAAATATTATTATAGGGCAATACTAATATGACTATGACCTTCTACATAATAATATATTAATAAAGTACAAGATACTCTGATATAATTACAATAATAATTCGTTTTTAAACATAAGAATTAATGAGTAAAGCGGATGAGAGAGACATGAGATATGAGAGTTGTTTTGTTTTTTAAATCTATTCAATACGATTTTTATTATTTATTTTATGTAATTTAATATGGAGAGTGAGAGTAGGGTGTACTATAGTCTTACAGGATAAAAACATATTTATTTTTTTATACTGTTCGTATATAACAATAATAATAGATTTTACATTTTGTTTTTATCATATTATAATATTTGTTATTTTGTTTTTTCTATATTAGAGACACTAATATTATACTAGAAGATCTATTTAAGTGGATCCACTCAAAATCTCCGAAAGCATTACAGTTTTTTGGAATTTGTTTTCTAGAACATTTAAGAAATAAGCAGCTCTACAATTTTGTATTTATGTTATTTTTTTTGTCTTTGTAAATTTTTAAAAATCAAAAGTAGATAGTGGTTTTACTCCCCACAAATAAGGGTGACAAAAAATAGCATGAATATAAAATTGTAGTGCTGCTTATTTCTTAAATTTTCTAGAAAACCAACTCCGGAAAAGTTAATACTTTCCGAGATAATGTGTGTACCTACTTAAATAGATCTCACGGTATACTTATAATATAATATAGTTTTATTATTTTAAACAAGAAAAACATTTTTTTTTTCATTGAAAAGCAACATTTTATCACCTACATACTATAAAGCTAAAATGACTTTATTTATTTTGGTTTTTTCTCAAAAAATAAAAAAAAATGACCCGATTATATGTGTTAGTTCGTTATTTTTTATTATTATTTGATTATTATTCGTTTAACGGACATAAACCAGTCGTGGTTAATTCCATACAGCATTTTATATAATATAATCCAAAATAATAATTAAAGCTTTAAGTTTAGCTGAGTTTATAACTTTACCTAAATGTTTATTAAAATATCTAACAATAGTAATAATATTAAAAGTAATATAAATATAAAAAGTAATAATATTATTACCATTATTATTAATTTTTAATAATATTTTATATGCTCAATGCTTCTTAAAAGACGAGTTTTTTAATGACTCGATTAACAAAGTAAAAAGTTCTTGTGTATTGAAACAATTATATCAATAAAAAAAATTGATTAATTTTTAGTAATAATATATGCTTAATATTTTTTATAAAGTTTATGGACTAATAAAAGTCTTAATTTAACTTGATAACTTATTATATAAAGTAATACAAATATTATATTACATATTATTACATACAATTAGGTTTAACGAATATACTATTATAAATTTGTGTGTTTTCAAAATTCTAAGTGCGCATAATAATAATAATAGTATTAATATTAATAAAAACAATTTTAAAAATTATAATGAAAAAAATGTCGGTATTCTACTGTATTTAGGCACTTCCGAATCCAAAATTGTCTAAAAGTAAATATTGCAACAGTTTACGCCAACGTAATATTTTCACTTAAATTCAATGGCGTGACGAAAACGATAAATTCTTCCAATGGTTTTCAACCTTTTATGAATCACGACCCCCCTAATTTTTTTTTTCATTTATGACGACCCCTTTTAAAAATTGTTTAACAGAACTTGAATAACACATTGTACAGTATACATGATACTTATAGTTTTGGGCGACTCAATAACAATCACTGCGGCCCCTTTGAGGGTTGCGACCCCCCCGGATGAAAAACACAGCTAAAAACATTCAATGAATATATAATTTATAATATACTTGCAAAAAAAAAATGTTTGAAATGATGTTTGTGTGTATAAAGCCATGGTTAATATTATGAGAATTAGACCGTAACGAGTGCGGTCTAATTGAAGACTGAGGATTTATAAAATATAAGCATACATTTATGTTCCGTGAAACGAATTTTGCAGATATTTTCGTGGGGGCATAAGAAATTATAAAAGAGTAACGTGCATCACTGATTATAATTAATGTTCATCACATCATTGCAGTACTGTATCCTTTACTTAAAATGGAAGAGTTATTTTTTTTAAAATTTTATTTGTATCTACCTAATTTTCTACCTTGAATTAAAAGGATAATATTGAAATGCGTTATTATAAATTTGTTTTACAGTAGGAAACTAAGAAGTTTACTTTGTCATCGATCCAACCAGAGAAAAGGGAGTGTTTTTTTTGTCAGGTTTAGTTTAAGACCTGCTCTGAAAAAAACTTTATTTAGACAACCGTTTAATAAAATATAAATTTATGTATTAACGAAAATACAAGTTCAAAACAACAAATTTAAGATTCGATTTACAAGCTGGTGCGGTCACGTACACACGTACAATCGTCTACTGTAAGAAAATAAATACTAATATAAAAATATATTATTTTAATATACTTATATAACTGTACACTTATTATAACTTATTAACTAGGTATTTATATTAATTAACTATATTAAAAGACGACGTTGTTCGCATATGTGTTGAAACTTACGTCTTCTGTTGATTGTTCTGTTACCAAATAGACCGTGGCTACTTACCGTTTGGTATTGCATTCATGGTCGTGTGATCACTAGAGTGATGGACGATAAAATGTGGCGACTAAAACCAAATCCTTTGAAAACTGCATTATCCTTGTTTCACATTAACAACAGAGCGGCAAACGTAAAGCTTACCGTCAGATTTTTTGGTCATCGAATAAAACTCGATAAAGTTTCGGTCTATTTAGGCGTTACATTAGACCGTACTTTAACATACAAACACCGCTTGGAAAAAATAGCATCTAAATTGAAAACTAGAACTACATTAATCTCAAAATTAACCGGGACCACTTGGGAGCCAATACTCAGGTCCTCCGTACATCCACCATGGCATTACTCTTCTCGGTAGCTGAGATTACTGCTCTCCGGTTTGGGGAGGAAGTACCCACTGCAGATTAGTTTACACGGAAAGGACTTTGCATAATAACTAGCAAAGTAGTAGTAACTAGTAAAGTCTACACAAATACAGTGGTTACCAGTATTGGCCAATACCGGACCCCCTCATATGCGCCGGCAGAATATTGTATTGCGAATTGCAGACAAAATAAAAAATAAAGCAGAATTACCAATTCACGAGGATGAAGTCGTAACGCCAAGACTCAAGTCTCGTCATTCTTCTCTTGCCAGTGTTAGACTAATAAAGAATCATAGATGCCTTCAACCAGACCCATGGAAGGAAGAATGGAAAAGCGATATCTCCACTAATGTATTCTTAGAAGTTAATGTATACAGTAAACCACCAGGGTCGGACCTTCCCCGTAGATTGTGGACCAGGCTGAATCGCATACGAACAGGTCAAGGTCGGTGTAATTACTTATTGCACAAGTGGAAAATCAAGGCAGACCCTAAATGCGACTGTGGTGCAAAAAAGCAAACGATGGAACACAAGTACGAAAAGAGGAAATTTCATGGAACCTTAGTAGTATAAAAAGGGGTATTCTAGGAGTAGGAGCAGGAGCAAGGATTAAGTGCTATACCTAATACATGGCCGCCCGAATTGCCCACCACTTCATAGACCATTTAGATCAAGCCCACTTTCGACATTATTACCACACTTTTATCACGGTTATACCTACTGTTATCACAAGTTATACCATATTTTATTTTATCACGTTATACTTATCGATATACCTTATGTTATACCTACTGTTATCGAAAGATGATGTTTCCTCGTATCTTATACATAGCAAGTATTTCATATACCTATACGAATTATATCTTTCCCGTCTATGTTACATAATATACACTCACACGTACACACACACACACACACACACACACACACACTCACACCATCTATTATTATAATTTAACAAAAATAATATTACTCGTACGCAATTTATTACCCATACGGAATATAACCGTCGTCATAACCCCCGTCAACTCCTTCCTGCATAATACGAAATATAATCCTTGGCGACAACGGACCTCTCGACCTGTATGAGAAAATGTATTGTTCTCGGTTTTCCTGTTCGAACATGCACAAATTCTTTCTGCGAACGTAAACCGATTTTTGTAGGTGTTGGATCGATAACGATCCGATCGTCAATAATGATTTTACTACAAACTAGTGCACTCGTCTTTTCCAGTTTTCTCATCGCTATCGTTTTGTGTTAATTTTTTTAAATTCTTGTAATACAACGTTTTTTTTTTCCGTTTAAAAATGAATACGTTTGAATGTATCTTCGCCGGTCGTGGAAAAGTTTTTAATGTTAAACGTAATATGACTCGCCACGCTAAATCACACGACAATATTAAATTTCAATGCGCTATGTGTCCGAAAATGTTTTTTTTCGCATAAAGACAACCACGATATCCACGTTAAAATTGTTCATCACGACGGAAGAGTCACTCTGCCGACTATTGTCCCGCAAGCAGGTCCTTCAAATATTATTCCGCAAGCTGACTTATCGAATGCCGGACCGTCCAACAAAGATGTATGGGGGAGCGACTTTGAAGACGACGACGAGTTGCTTGCGGCACTTGACATGGATTTCGAAATGGATAAGGATAAGATTTCTTTTATTATGCCCCACCACGTAGCTAGGGAATTAGTTTTAAATTGTATTGGTAGGCACGAAACTTGCACTTAAAGAAGATACCACTGCTAGAGTGAAAAAAGCTAGTCTGGCTCTAGCGAAAACCCCGGAATTCATTGAAATCGATTCTTTCAACCGCAAAATCGTATGGTACTACACCAAAAATCTCACAAACATACAAAATTACAGACGATTTCTCTGTTGAATCAAACCCGCACTTATAGACCTACTCGAAAAGCTTGTACAAGAAAACCCGATTAAAGTTAATTTGAAACTGAAAGCCTCATATTACAAACCTCACGTCGATAATTCAGCCGAGAACAGAGCGTTCAAGACCTCAGCCAGGCAAATATTTTTCGATAGCGAAATAGAAGACATCGTTGAAGAAAAATGCATGAAATTAATGTCCGAACAAGAAATTTATCAAGGACGTGGTAGCGGTTTTTCACTTCAGCATACAGACGGCCTTTTATTAGGCGTCTACAAATTCCAGTCGATAGGCGGATCATCATACATCCCGCTACCCAAAGACATCGTAAATAAACGTGCCGTCGTCAACCCACATAACATGGACGAAGAGTGTTTCAAGTGAGCGATTTTAGCGAAACACGTAACGGAAGACCATAGGTACAGAGTAAACGAGAAATATACCGAGCACGAAAATAAATATAATTTCTCTGTATTGACATACCCAACCCCGCTTTCGGACATTAAAAAAATTCGAAAAAAATAATTCGAACGTGTCCGTAAATGTTTACGGACTGAAGAAACAAGAAAAAACAAAAAAACGGTACATACCGATAAAGTGACCGATGTGGAGAAGACGGACCATTTCGACCTGCTACTGATAAACAAAAACGAAAAGTCCTATTATACTTACATCTCAAATTTTCAACGTCTTGTACGATCACAGAAAACCGCACATAAAGAAGAAGTAATTTTCTGTAAACGGTGATTTATGGTTTTCGATAACAGACCTAGGATGAAATTGAGCGGGCAGGTGGCACTCGACCAACATAAATTAATTTGCGGCGAACACAAACCGATTTTGCCCGTAATGCCCGAAACCGGTTCAAAATTAAAATTCGATGCATGTGGAAAAATGCAACGTCATCCTATATACGCTGATTTAGAGGCGATTTTGGAGAAGATGGATGAGAAGAAAGGACAAAACACAACTATTATACAAAATCATAAACCGATGTCGTACGGGATTTTCGTAAAGGCGGCAGACGATGTCCTGACCGAATTATTAGACGAATTTGAAATACCAACCGAGTCTTTAATTTACCGTGGAACAAAGGACGAACCGAACGCAGCGAAACATTTTGTAAAAACGATTGTGGGGATAAGTCAACGAGTAGAAAAATTATTAAAGACGAATAAACCGATTATTATGACTGCGGAGGATGTTCAAAGTCATGTTACGTGTCAGCAGTGTAATTTGTGTAAAGGCGGTTTTTCTGCTGCAAACCCGAAAGTCGCCAATCATAACCACTTGTCGGGCAAATTTAGGCAAACACTTTGTAATACTTGTAATCTGAAATTACAAGTATCTAAATTTGTCCCGTGCTTTTTTCATAATCTTTCTAATTACGACTCACATTTCATCGTGACCGAGCTTAGTTATAACGCAAAAACGATTTCCGTTATTCCTAACAGCGAAGAAAAATTTATTTCGTTCTCTAAGTACGTGAGTAACACCTTCACCGTACGATTTATAGACACTTTTCGATTTATAGCGTCAAGTCTTTTGTCTCTTGCATCGTACCTACACACATCCGATTTAGAGAAGTTTCGCAAATCTAAAAAAGTATTTAACATCGAAGATACGTCGCTTGTAACTCGTAAGGGAGTGTACCCTTACGAGTACACGGATAGCTGGAAGAAATTGGAAGACGAAATTTTACCGGAGAAAGAGCAATTTTACAGTACGTTGACCGAATAAAATATCAAAGATGCGGAGTACATTCACGCGAAAGACGCATGGAACCATTTCAACTGTCGTACATTTGGCGAGTACAGTGACCTTTATTTGAAAATCGACGTCATGTTATTGGCCGATGTGTTTGAAAACTTCCGCGATATTTGTATGACGACATACAATTTGGATCCGGCCTACTATTACACGGCACCCGGATTCAGTTTCGGCTGTATGTTGAAATACACCATGGTAGAACTTGAACTACTTTCCCACTACGATATGCTGTTAATGTTCGAAAAAGGTATACGTGGTGGACTGGTGCAGGCGAGTATGCGGTACGCGAAGGCGAATAATTATACGGTGCCGGACTATAACAGAATAAAAGGCCATTCGTGGATTATATACCAGGATTGTAAGTATACATATTATTTAAAAAATATATATATATCAGTAATTTATAATTTTTTACTGTTTGTTTTAGGTAACAATTTGTACGGGTGGGCCATGTCACAGTACAAGCCCCACAGCGGGTTCCAGTGGAAGGAACCTACATTAGACGGTTTGGAAGAACTGACGGACACTTCTGATATCGGGCGGGTATACGAGTTGGATATAGCGTACCCGGAACACCTACACGTGGATCACAACGATTTGCCTTTCTTTCCGAATAACGGAGTACTACCAGGTTCTAAGGTGAAAAATTGATGGCGACGTTGTAAGAGAAGAATAATTATATCATACACTACAGGCATTTGAAGCAAGCTATAGTTAATGGACTGATTCTTAAAAAGGTAAATACTTTAATTTTTTTCTTATTCATTTTGTTTATTATATTTTTTGTATTATTTATGTTACGGGTACATAGAATCCTACAGTTTGAACAATCGCGTTGGCTTGCAAAATACATTAATTTAAATATAGAGATGAGGATGAAGGCAGCTAATGATTTTGAAAAAGATTTCTACAAACTTATGAACAATGCTGTTTTTGGTAAGTTCTTATTATTATTACTAAAACTTGTATGTTATTATATTATTATGATTTTCTAGATAAAACTATGGAATCAATGAGACGAAGAATCGATATCGAACTAGTATCCTATGAGAAGAGAACGCAGAAACTTATAAACAAAACAACATTTAAACATTGTACTTCCTACAATGAAAACCTGTGTGCTGTATCGTTGGGAAATAAAATAATATATTATATTGGAAAATCGAGCTTGGGAGCGATTTAAAGTCAAGGACGCTGATTATAGGGAAAAGAAGATTATAAAAAAATACTACTCAATTGCAATCAACAGCTTATTTGAAATCGGTCGTCGTCTGATTTCAAATCTCTGCGCTCTATCGACGCAGAAAAATCCATTGAAATAAATAAAAAATTAAATAACAGAAGTGACCAATGTTCTCTGGAAAACGTCAGTTATTCGGGTAAACGATTCAGAAAAATTAAAACTTTTGAGAATATTGGATTCTCGGTAAACCGTTCGCGTGCGCGTTTAGAACCTGGCACTTGTGTGAATATCCCGTTCTCCCGACAAACACTTCTCATTCGTGGACGGTTAAATCTAGCANATTGGATTTCAAACCGATAGAAAGAATAACTTGATAAACCCGTCGGGTTGGTTCGACCGTTGTAACCTCAAAAACCTTAAGGTATACTTAAACAACGAAGTATATCCCTACAAGGATTTCCACGCAAACTTTTCAATAACAAAAACGGCTACATTGTATAAGGCGTATACAGATTTTCAAAAACCGTATTATGGTAGAGAAACAAGTGCTCCATTATTAACGAGAAACTGCAGACGCGCCGATCGTAGTTGTGGATTTATCCAGACAGAACGACAACGTCAGAGCGTCGACCGTGGACTTGCGTATTGAATTTGAAACAGACGAAGCGGTTCCGGAAAAAACAGCTGCATATTGCCTAATCTTACACGACCCGATTAGAACTTATAAACCATTTAACGGACATGTATGAAAATTGTAACCTTATCTTGTAAAACTTATATACGAGAGTTGTCCCAAAAGTAATGCACAGCGCGCTCTAGCTGTCTTGCAATTTGATATTATCAGCCGATTTTAGTATCAGTTTGTAGCTTGAAGTCTAACGAACACGTGCGTTTTCAGTTTTAGTTGTTTTAGTAAAGCATGATGAAGTGTGAGAGCGATAACGAAAGTGAGAACAATTCGTCGGCTCACATTTCTGTTTTTGAGCAACGCGCATACATTAAAATCGAAACGATTCGTGGTAAAACAGTGCCTGAAATTCATGCCGCGTTAAATGAAGTGTGTGGAACGGATACTGTGGATCGTAGTACGGTGCAAAGATGGCATCAGCGATTCCGTGATGGTCGTATAAGTATTGATAACAACCCTCGCTCTGGCCGACCCTCTACGGTTACTCAAGACAACACTAACGCGGCTATTCTCGCAACTCTACTCGATGAAGACCGACGAATAACGGTGAGAGAGATAGAGAATGAAACAGGTATTTCAAAATCAAGTGTTCACCGCATTTTAACGGAAATTCTACAGAAACGANGCAGTAGTGTAACCGGGGATTACTACAAAACATTCCTTGCCAAAAAATTGCGACCAGAAATCCGTAAAAAGCGACCAGGAATGTTACAAAATGGTGTGTCCATATTGCACGATAATGCGCGGCCGCATATCGGAGCACCAGTCGTCGCTCTATTGGAGAAATATGGATGGGAACGCCTCAAACACCCACCGTATTCGCCGGATTTAAGTCCTCCGGACTTTGATTTATTTCCAAAACTGAAGGAACCACTTAGAGGGATCCGTTTTCCCAACTTAGATATACTAAATGAAGAAGTGAGCCAAAGGATCCGTGAACTCAACAAAGATGGCGTCCTATGCGGTATTCAAGCGCTCCCGAAACGATGGCAATCGTGTATAGACAAACAGGGAGATTATATCGAAGGTCTATAATATTGTATTTAGTTTAAAATAAAAACTTATTTATTCAGAGCAAATTGTGCATTACTTTTGGGACAACCCTCGTATAATTAGGAATAAATAAATAAAACCGATTTTTTTTTTTTTTTTAACTAAATAACTGTGTTTTTATTTAATGTAACTACAATACATGTAATATACAAATTTCTGGAGACCGCAATATATGTGACTTATATTTCGGCGTGTCGAGTATGTTTGATAGGATTTCGTCCATCAGTGGAAATATTTGTGATAGAACATCCGGTGTTAGGTGGACGTATCATGACGGAGTTATTGTCTGTACTCCGACGGAGAACGTTGTCTGTCGGGTCGACACCTATATTCGCGAACTTACGTACTGTGAAACACTAAGAATATTAGTTATTGCAGTCAATAAGACCCGCCGGTGGTACTGGTGCGACGCATCCGTACATTTTAAATGAAACATTTAAACGCTTGTAAAAATTGATAAAAACTTTGTAAAAAAAAAAAAAAAAAAAAAATTAAACGCCATATGATCACTGGACGACGACGACTTGGTCCTACGACTGCGGCACGGATTACGATTGAGTCGGCCGTCTAAAAGTACTTTAACGGGATAAAAAGCAAGCGAATTTGGGGAGGGGGGCGGGCTAAGCGACAGGACCGTGCAGGATCTTACAGACGAGAAACACAATGCGCACTGCTGTCGGAATATATTTGTGTATGCGTACGTAAATTTTCGTTCTCGGAGACGGATCGGCTATACGCACATTATAGACGGGGGGGGGGAGGGGAGGGGGAGATTTGTGAAAGGATTTGTGCGCGTTCGAACGGGGAAACCGAGAAAAATACATGTTCTCGGACGGGTCGTCGCGTGCAAGAAGCACACCGCCGCACGCTGCTGACGATGTATTATATTATGTATCGTATATACATACATTTTGTTACGGTACGCGTAACGTAGAGGGTCGAGAGGACCGTTGTCACCAACGGTTATATTTCGTATAGGTCCACGGTTATAATTTCGTATTACGCGGAAAGGAATTGACGGGGGTTGTGACGACGGTTATATTCCGTATGGGTAACGAATTGCGTACGAGTTATTCATGTTAAATTATACTAATAACACAGTGTGTGTGTGTGTGTGTGTGTGTGTGTGTGTGTGTGTGTACGGATAAGGAAAAAATAATCAAAAAGTATTTGAATCTACGCGTGCTTATATAAGATATATTTGGATCATACGAGAGCACTAACTAGATATTATTACATTGTTTCAAATTATTATTGCTCTTCGTGAATAAAATGAAAAATGAAACGCGCAAAGCAAAATAGGAGGAGTGAAAAAGAAATAGAATATAAATCTGCCTAAGTACCATTGTTATAGCATTATAAAATATAATGCGATGATCAAAGATTATTAATTAAAACTGTGTTGTAAAATAATTCCAATATACCTAATATTATAGACTTATTCTTATTTACAACTAATAACCTACTTATACTGTTTAACTAAATTAAAAGACGACGTTGTTAAAATTTGCAATAAAATACTTCCGTTGTCTGACGTCGAACTCTATATTAAGTTTTCCTTAAAAAAACATCTAAAATCTAAGTACTTAAGAAACAAAAAAATTTTTTTATTTTTACATTATATTAGTATTATTCCTTTAATAGCATAAATCTTTGGTGAATTCGAAGCAAATAAATTATATTAAAAAAAAATCTATAGTTAAACCGGAAAAATAAAAAATATATATTAGTTTTTCTATAAACTCTTTCTATATGTAGTAAAATTTTTGGTTTGAAAAAAAAGAAAAAAATGTCGACTACAGATGAGCAGAAATTTGAAGTCCAGTAGCAATTGGAGATCCGAGCGCCCCCGAAGTGCAGCCAGGCGAAGCCAGGACCAGAGCCCGTGTTCTTAACCAGGACCTACATTGTTAGTCAGAGCAACAGAGCGACCTATTGTCGAAGCTGACTGCCAAACTCGGTTGACCACTTGGCGCACTGTTGTGTTCGCTGAGGATGTGGAGACCCGTTCCCATCTCGGCCACTGTCTGCGTCATCAGCTGTTATGCACCTTAACTTTCACTGTAAGTGTGAAATATTAACAGACGAAGACATCACTGAAGATCCCCTTAATCCGGTGAAAACTATATTCTCCGTTGAAAACGCCACAAGCATAACATTTACTCAGCTCAAGTTCTTAGTCGAAAACTCTACAAACAAACCCTTAGATGTAAGCACTCTATGTGAAGAGGCAAACATCAAAATATTCACTTTAATGTCAATAATGAAAAAGCTTACATCAAAATTAAAAATCGCTCAATGAAAACCAAATTGACCAAATTGTTTTAATTGATTATTTCAAATAATTCATACCGAACAAACAAACTTGACACAATAACCATCCCCTCCTAAAAAAAATAAACTTAAAATATAAACATTGATAATGAGTTAAATATAATACATTAGAAATGGCCTTGTAATAAAACTAAATGACATTAAATTAATAAATTAATGTATTGATTTACAATGATGTGTATTTTTTATTTGTTTTTTAATATTCTTTTGCCATTGTCTTGTTATGCTTTTAAATAATGTATTACATGATACATATTACTTGTTAGTTGTTATATATAAATAAGAGCTTTAATGTTAATTTAAGTTTTTCAAATCTTCTAGGATAAAAGTTAAGGAAATATTATTTATAAATGGTAAATCTAATATAAATGTTATTTATATCGAAATAGAAAAATTTTCTCTATTCAAATCTATGTTCAAAAGATGGATCCTATTTAAAAATTAAAAATACCGATATACTTATTAAGGCTATATTGAATTTAGATGAAAAATTTAAAATAGTTTTAAAATAAACTTTAAACGACTTACAATGTTTAAAAAAAAAAAAAACAATATAATGTTATTAATTAATACATTGTTAGACAAATATATTTATATCTTTTATTTATCTTCATATTTTATGAAAAAGAAAAATAACGAGATGGATATTCAAAGACCCTGGAGAGACATATATCCCCATCATCACCCCACTTTTAATTACGCTATAACGTGCAAAAGAAAAGATGGATATATTATTAATAAATAACAATGCATGAACACAACGATGATTTTCCAATAACTTTAATTTTAATTTACTTCTTTTAGTTTTATTTTATTTTTATATTCACACAAATATGTAATAGAACCTTAATAGAAACTAGGAAAACAAATTTAATATCATAATAACCCCAAAAAAAACATAAACAAAAAGAAAAAATTAAACAAATGAAAACAAAAAATAAAAGACGAAAAATTGTAAAAACAATATTTAAAACAATGATAATCATCAATCTTTATCAACATCTTCAGGAATACAAAAATTATATATTAGAAAAAAAAAATATTATCTGTGTGGTATATTGTATATTTTTAGTTGATTAAAAATAATAATAATAAGATGTTAAGTACCTAAATAATATTTATAATTTTTTTTTATCTTTTTGTATAAACTCATCACTGAGTTATAATATAATATTATTACATAATGGCAAATTCAAGGGGAAAAAAAAACTATTAACTATACATACATAAAAATATTATAAGGTAAGACTTAAAAAAATAAGACAATGTAATCAGTATATAACATAATTTAGGAATTAATAATCGGAAACATTTGGGAAATATATATTATAACATATAGTAATATACATAAAAGAATTTACAGAATTAGTAGTAAACACCAGTAAATTGAGTGATATAATTCAATAGCGAAAATCCAAAAAAAAAAATTAAATACAAATAAAAATTCTTAATTATAATTTCTAAAGTATATGTTTTAACTACAAAAAACAAATACTACCATCCCAGATTTAATTCTAAATTTATTCCAACTCGATATAAATTAAAGTACACTTAAATTAGTTAAATAATTAAAAAAAGACGTGAAAATGACCTTTAAAAATTTTGAAACCTACGATAATGAACAATAAAAATTATTAGCAATTTTTGTAATGAAAAAAACTATATTCTAAAAACTAATAAATTAATCATACCTAAAGAAATTATTGTAGACTTATAAATATTTAATACATAAAAAGACGCCGTGGATCAAGTTTTCATTGACATCCTTACGTCATCTGTTTAATATTTACGATNATTCTACGATAACGATAAATCTATATTATGCGGAATTTTCAGAAAAAAAAAACTAATTAAAAATAACTTCAATGATTATTCATACTTAATATAAAATTAATATAAACTTATAATTATAAACTACATTAAAAGACGACGTGGATCAAGTTTTCATTGACATCCTTACGTCGTCTGTTTAATATTTACGATCATAGTAATTTTTGTTTGTGGTTTTGCCATTTGAATAACCCGCCTTTAATGGAGGTATAATCTTCCAAGAAAGAAAGTAAAATAATTTTTTAAAAAAATCGACCTTTACACTTATAGAAATCTAATTTGGATCCTACGATTAGTTAAATCAAAATCATTGGGAAATTTTGAAATGAAAAAAACAATTTTCTAATATACATAAAATTTAATCATACCTAAAAAAATTAATATATACTTATAATTATTAACTACATTAAAAGACGACGTGGATCAAATTGTCCTTGACATCCTTACGTCGTCTGTTTAATATCGAAGAATTTTATGTTTGGAATTTCTACACTGCATTTCTGTACAAGTTTTTTATTCCGAAAAATTACGTTAAACTTAGCAAAAACAATATTTAAATACAACAATGGTTTTTTTTCATTTGGATAATACTAGAATTTTACGACAACGGTAATTCTATAATTTTAGGAAATTTCGAAAAATAAAATCTAATTAAGAATAACTTCTATGGTTATTCATACTTAATATAAAAATATTATACACTTATAATTATTAACTACATTAAAAGACGACGTGGATGAAATTTTCTTTGACATCCTTACGTCGCCTATTTAATATCGAGGAAATTTATATTTGGGATTCATTTACTGAGTTCCTGTACAAGGTTTACAGTCTGAAAAATTACGTTATACTTAACAATTATAATATTTAAAAAAGACCTTAACCTTTTCTCCTCTAGATATTACTTGAATTCTACGATAACGATAAATCTATATTATGCGGAATTTTCAGAAAAAAATAACTATTTAAAAATAACTGCTATGTTTATTCATACTTAATATAAAATTAATATACACTTATAATTATTAACTACATTAAAAGGCGACGTGGATCAAATTTTCATTGACATCCTAACGTCGTCTGTTTAATATTTTGCTAGTATCATTAAAAACAAACACCAAAACGGTAAGGAATAACCCGCCTTTAATGGAGGTATAATCTTCCAAGAAAGAAAGTAAAATAATATTTTAAAAAAATCAACCTTTACACTTATAGAAATCTAATTTGGATCCTACGATTAGATAAATCAAAATCATTGGGAATTTTTGAAATGAAAAAAAAAATATTCTTAAAAAACTTATAAACTAATCATACTTAAAAAAATTATTATATACTTATAATTATTAACTACATTAAAAGACGACGTGGATCAAGTTTTCATTGACATCCTTACGTCGTCTGTTTAATATTGATGAATATTATGCTTGGAATTTTTATACTGCATTCCTGTATAAGGTTAACAGTCTGTTAAATTACAACATACTTAACAATAATACAATTTGAAAAAACAACAAAGGCATTTTTTTTTTGAGGATAATACTTTAATCCTACGATTTGCTATTAAGATATTAAAACCTGTTAAAGCTTGTCTTTTTGTTTTTATAAATTACTTCTAAGTTTAAAGATAATTTATATAAATTTATATACACTTAAAATTATTCACTACATTAAAAGAAGACTTGGATCTAATTGTCTTTGACATCCTTACGTCATCTGTTTAATATCGAAGAGATTTATATTTGGGATTCATTCACTGAGTTCCTGTACAAGGTTTACAATCCGAAAAATTACGTTATACTTAACAATTATAATATTAAAAAAAGACCTAAACCTTTTCTCCTCTAGATATTACTTGAATTCTACGATAACGATAAATCTATATTATGCGGAATTTTCAAAAAATAAAACTAATTAAAAATGACTTCAATGATTATTCATACATAATATAAAATTAATATACACTTATAATTATAAACTGCATTAAAAGACAACGTGGATCAAGTTTTCATTGACATCCTTACGTCGTCTGTTTAATATTGAAGAATATTATGCTTGGAATTTTTATACTGCATTCCTGTATAAGGTTAACAGTCTGATAAATTACAATATACTTATCTATAATACAATTTGAAAAAACATAGGCCTTTTTTCATAAAGATAATACTTGAATCCTACAATAACGATAATTCTATAATTTTAGGAAATTTTGAAAAATAAAATCTAATTAAGAATAACTTCTATGATTTTTCATACCTAAAAAAATTAATATATACTTATAATTATTAACTACATTAAAAGTCGACGTGGATCAAATTTTCATTGACATCCTTACGTCGTCTGTTTAATATTTACGATCATAGTAATTTTGGTTTGTGGTTTTGCAATTGGAATAACCCGCCTTTAAGGTAGGTAAAATCTTCCGAAAACGAAAATAAAAATATGTTTCAAACAAATTAACATAAAAACTAATAAAAAATATTTTTGAATCCTACAATAACGAATAATAAAAATTATTTCGAATTTTTGAAATGAAAAAAAAAATATTCTTATAAACTTATAAACTAATCATACTTAAAAAAATTATTATATACTTATAATTATTAACTACATTAAAAGACGACGTGGATCAAGTTNCATTCCTGTATAAGGTTAACAGTCTGATAAATTACAATATACTTATCTATAATACAATTTGAAAAAAAATAGTCCTTTTTTCATAAAGATAATACTTGAATCCTACAATAACGATAATTCGATAATTTTAGGAAATTTCGAAAAATAAAATCTGATTAAGAATAACTTCTATGATTTTTCATACATAAAATAAAATTAATATACACTTATAATTATTAACTACATTAAAAGTCGACGTGGATCAAGTTTTCATTGACAACCTAACGTCGTCTGTTTAATATTGAAGAATATTATGCTTGGAATTTTTATACTGCATTCCTGTATAAGGTTAACAGTCTGTTAAATTACAATATACTTAACAATAATACAATTTGAAAAAACAACAAAGGCCTTTTTTTTTTGAGGATAATACTTTAATCCTACGATTACGATAATTCTATAATTTAGGACAATTTCGAACAGAAAAACAAATTATAAATAACTTCTAAGTTTAAAGATAATTTATATAAATTTATATACACTTAAAATTATTCACTACATTAAAAGAAGACTTGGATCTAATTGTCTTTGACATCCTTACGTCATCTGTTTAATATCGAAGAGATTTATATTTGGGATTCATTCACTGAGTTCCTGTACAAGGTTTACAATCCGAAAAATTACGTTATACTTAACAATTATAATATTTAAAAAAGACCTTAACCTTTTCTCCTCTAGATATTACTTGAATTCTACGATAACGATAAATCTATATTATGCGGAATTTTCAGAAAAAAAAAAACTAATTAAAAATAACTTCAATGATTATTCATACTTAATATAAAATTAATATAAACTTATAATTATAAACTACATTAAAAGACGACGTGGATCAAGTTTTCATTGACATCCTTACGTCATCTGTTTAATATTTACGATCATAGTAATTTTTGTTTGTGGTTTTGCCATTGGAATAACCCGCCTTTAATGGAGGTATAATTTTCCAAGAAAGATAGTAAAATAATTTTTTAAAAAAATCAACCTTTACACTTATAGATATCTAATTTGGATCCTACGATTAGTTAAATCAAAATCATTGGGAATTTTTGAAATGAAAAAAAAATATCGAAAAAATATCTGTTTAATATCGAAGAGATTTATATGTGGGATTCATTCACTGAGTTCCTGTTCAAGGTTTACAGTATCTATATTATGCGGAATTTTCAGAAAAAAAAAAAAACTATATTATTATTACTTTTAAAATTAATCATACTTAAAACAAATTAATGTACACTATATTTATTAATAGATTGGTGAAAAAAACAAAATTTTGGTTACTAGCCTTACCCTACAACACACAGGTTTGTTTTATTTAGAGATTTTTTCAGGGTTTTTTCGAGAATAATGTTGATAGGAGCTATCCGGTGATGCTGTTGCTGATGGATGATCTTCAGTCTGGATTGGAACGGTGTGATTTATGTTTGGTGCAGTGCTTGTATAGTCTGGATAACCAGGGTGCGGCCCAGCAACGTACTAAAATGTAGATAATACTCAATTAAAAATGAAAAAAAAAATCCAGGTTCCTTATGGATACCAGGTCCAGTACCTATATCATTAATAGATGCATTGCATTTATTTACATTTTTTAACCGATTACCAAACAATAAATTTAACTTAACATTAGTCTATTGCTCTTTATTACTGTTGGAGTATTTGCTAAGTATCTATTATGTGTATTCAATTAGGTACCGCCTAACAGTGGAAAGTTCTTGTAATACATTCGACTTACTGGTCAGTTTCCAATCTGTAAAGCAGTCATATTGGTAGCGAGTTGTGGTATAACCGAACCATATTGAACTGCACCAGGATCCGCTTGTTGAATCATTTGACAACACACAGGAGTCTTATAAAAAAAAAAAAAANGTGTAGCGATTTTATTTACATATTTAAATATTGCAACATTTAAAACATTTAAACTTCTGTAAAGTATCAATAGACAAAAATCAATTGAATAATACAATTAATCATAATTTGCACGCTATATTTATTACAATATGCTAGTACTGAAACTTTGAACTTGAAACTACTGAAAACTTTATATTATTGTATTAATTTAAATATACTCCGTTGTTTTATCATTCTAATGTATTTGTTTTCAACGTAAAAGTTAGGTAGGTACAATTTAATTAGATAAGTATTTAATCATTACATCAATTTGAGTTAGATGATGTGGTGGAGCAGGTTGCATTACATATTGCGGCACCCAGGTCGATGCCGGAATCGAGTAGCCGTGTGCAGGCATTGCTTGTGTTGTGTAATGACGGCCAACATATTGTGCCAATGTGCCAGGTATAACGTGAGTACCACCAGCACTGGTCATGCCGCTGTGAATCATAGCATATCCGACGGTTGAACTCCAACTCTACTTGTAGACCTATATATCTGTCATTATGTCACACAACTTGACGCAATGTTTAATATATTTTTAAATTATATAGGTAATTTACATATACTAAAATGACGAAGAAATTTAAACATACCTAATATATATCAATACATTTGTAATACGAAGATATTTCCAATATTCTAATCGGTAAAAATATATCTTGGCCTGTTCTAAATAACGGAATACTACGTCAACACGATGCAGAGAACTAAAGAAGACTGGGGCGGTAACATTCGGCTTGCAATATAATTGACAAAAAAAATGGCCACCCGATAAAGTACTGCGCACGGGTCATCGCGCAAGGATTTTCCCGGATTTGTCGCGGCGCACAGGTCACGGCGCAGGGGTCATGATACATTGATCGGTCTCCACATCCTAAGGCGAGCACATATTTATGTGTAACCATAGTACTATGAACGATAATATGGGTTAGGTATGCTCCTAAAATCCAAATAGTATGTTTAACCCCTTCCCTCTCACGCGATTGTAAATTAGGTTGCCTTGTTTCAATAATAAATACTTTAATCCTAATAATATAAGATATAATAAACTTCACCTCAGATTTCTTCCATAAAAGAGCCACTGGTCTAGATTTTTTTCTTTTTTTTTGACCAATGTCGTCAAATTTGTCTAGGAATAATTCTTTGTGTTCAGCAATGAATTTCTGTCAATAACCTGAATAATATGTTCATATTTTTCCTTAGAATACTTTCTGAAAATAAATTCAATAGTGTAGTTTATAAAAGGAAAACAATAAAGTGTATATTTTACGGATATAATATTGCATAGCAAATCTGACATTTTTGCCGACCATATTAAATCGCGTTGTATTTAGGTAAATACCACTTGTCTGAACGAAATCGACAGACGGTAGAATCAGATAACGCTAAACGTTGTGTAAGTACCCAATCTGAAAAAAAACAAGTTATTGATCACAACTATTCCAGTCACCTCTCCCCCACTTTTTTGAAGGCAAAACTTGCACAGGTTAACTACATACAAATAGCCACGAGACTTTAGTATGCACAACAAAAGCAACTTTAGTCACTACCACGATCCATCGATTTCATTAATATATTTGCATCAGAAGCCAAAGAAATATCATTAAATTTGTTTAGCTTTTTCTCCAATGCATTAATTATACATGGACAAATTTCATTAAATCATTGATTGCTGTATATTTTTCAACCCATCGCGTAACACATTATTTCTTAAATGATTTTGCAGAAAGGTTGAGGTCACTGTTAGCAATAGCTTCCAAAAGAACATTGTTTCATTTAGTTGAATTGAAAAAATTATGCATTTTGGCCACTAAACATGTATAGTTCTTAACAGATTGAGGTTCACATCTAGATGAAGTTACTAAATTTAAGGAATGGGCAGCATAGTGAACATCTTATCCTTTGGATATACATCCGTTATAACTGTTTGCACTCTTTTGAATTTCCAGTAGTAGTGTATTATTATTAAATCCACCCTGTGCTGCCACACTAATGATGCTCCATTACTTTCCCCGACCAAAACTTAAAATTAGAATATCTTGTCAATGAATTGACAGAAACCAAAAATGTCAACATGAAAGTGTAATTTATCTAATACTACATCTATTTAATTAATTTTCAATATAGGTTGCCATTTAAAAATCAAAAGTAGGTAGTGACTTCACACTCAAATATTAGGGTGACAAAAAAGAATATTGATGTAAAATTGTAGAGCTGCTTGTTTCTTATATTTTCTAAAAAAAACAGCTTTCGAAAAAAATTAATACTTACTGAGATAATTAGTGTTTTTAACGATAAAAGAATTATGGGTATGCATTTTTTTTTTATATATTGATTCAAACAAATTCTCCATACTTTATTTTAGAGAAATGTGCGGTTTTAAATTTTTATTTCACTGTTGTTTAATGTGCCTCCCTGCTCGTTTTGACTTTCAATATTTCTTTCAATGGTTTTTCACTCGTGTTTGCGATTGTAAAAATAATTTCATACATTTTCAACAATATCTATAGTAGAATATATTATATTAAAATGTATGACGTACATATTATTATTTTGAATGAACTGCAGGATGAATAATTAATTTTTTATAAAAATATTACATATTTTATATATCTAAATAGCATAATATATAAAATACATCTATATTATCATTTATGTATTTTCATATGTTATGAAGAAGAAAAAAATCAACGCTAGCTAATACAAAGATCCTGGATAGCCAATTATCACCATCATCATCCCACTGGGCCTCCATAATAACGCCATTATTTACAAAAGAAAAAATAGATAAATTATTAATGAATAAAAAAAATACACATCGATTTCGCAATAACTTTAGTTTTTATTTGTTTTTTTGTAGTTTTATTTTATTTTCACATTCACTCAAATATATAGTATAACCTTAGTACTAGGAAAAAAAAACTTAATATCATAATAACCTATCATTAAAATGCAACAACGCCAAAATGTATATCAAACCCAATAAAAACACAACAAAAAAAAAAAAAAAAAAAATTGAACAAATGAGAACTAAAAATATGAGACATAAAATTGTTCAATAATATATATAATAATAATAATCAATTCTCATCATCATCATCATTATCATCATAAATAAATAAATTATATATTAGAGAAAAGAAAATATTTTCTGTAAGTAGGTATATTATGTATGTGTAAGTCATAATGTATTAGTTGCATAAAAAAAAAAAAATAAAAAATAATAATAATAATATGATGTAAAGTAAATAATATTCTCAATTCTGGTTTTTTTTTTTTTGTAATTTTTGTATAAACTCATCACTGAATTATAATGTAATAATATTGTAGAACAAATATATTCAAGGGAGGAAGAAAAAAAAAACTATACATACATAAAAATATTATTTTAAGGCAAGACTTAAATAACTAAGGCCTTCTACATAACAATCAGTCACAATATATTATATAATAATAAAATACAAGACACCAGGTGATACAATAATAATTTTTTTTTAAATTTAACAAATCAGTTAAGCACATGGGATAGGGATTGGGAAACGCGA